ACATTGGGGGTGTGTTACACACAGAGGGGTATCAGGGTCATTCATATCCCAGCTTGAACGGGGAATCTGTTAGCAGCTTGTAATGACAGTGAGCAACATTTTTAATTTTCAAGCAGATATTCTGTTTGATGAAGCAGAAAAGGCACAGAAGTGACCAGCAACACCTACTTTAAGTCTAGTCCATCTAAGTTGCTCGGTGAGCAGTACATATGAGTAACGATGCACAATAGCATACCATTCTTCTGATTGGCTGACATAAATGGGATGCAGCCATCTTTAAGGTTGATAATCACAACCACTGTTCCTGAGCTCACAACATATAACTCTGTGAAACGTCCATATTGCCTAAAGAGTTTGACCTTTCAAAAAGGTAAGATACCACTCTGAAAGAGTGTAAGAATCGTCCGTAAGCTGCTGCGAGCACATACACACACTTCATTTGTGGTCTACGCACACTGGCGGTGGAAGAGGGGGATCAATATCTAATACTTTTTTCCGTCCTGTCTGCATCTTATTATTCCATTAAACTACAAGACGAGCTATGCATGGAAAAAACTTTGCTCATTAGACAAACACTTTTTTTTTTTTTGTTTACCACAGATGTCTCAGTCTCAGTTTTTTTTCTTCCATAGCGTATTTCTAATGGTTGGTGATCGTTGTTTTCTTATTCTTGCAGTTTTTGCCCCATGTCTGCCCCATGTCTGCCCCCCCCCATGCTGAATCTGCATAAAGATATCATTTTAACGCTAGGTGCATGCTTTTGTTACACTTGCACAATGTCTGTGCTTTGAATCGGTTGTGGTTTGGTGGGAGCATTTCCTCTGAAATGGAGGAGGGATTGTGGGGGGAAGAATACAGGTGCAAGGAAGTTGAATAATAAACATTTTGAGGTTTTATTTTAATTTTATCCAACCCCTGTCTCATATGCCGTGGTTTCCCAGGCCCTACAGAAAAACATCTCCATCAGAAGAGGTGCTGATTCAGACCTTCAAACCCATCTGCCCTCGCACTGACCCAGCCATATCCGTGAGGAAACCCCCCCCCCAAGTTTGCTCAGGGCCTGGACAGGATAGCTGGCACATTGGATATAACTTCTAAATATATATATCAGTCTGAACTGTTTGAACTCTTCAGAGCCTAAAGAGATGCAATGAATCCCCATAAGTCTTTAGTCTTCTTCCTCCTCCTTCCCACACCTCCCGTCGTCTGATAATGAAGTATCATACAATCTCAAGCCTGGTTTTGATTTTTCTGTCCCTGTCTCTTCCAATGCAAAAAGGCACATCTGGTTTCTATAAGCACATACATGTCATCACAAAGAGGAGGGGGAAGGGTGTGTATATATCAAGAGGGGATTGAACTTCAAGGAGTGGCTGCACACACTGTCAAGATATCACGGCCTCTAATCGTCTCTTTAAACTCCTCTCACATATGTGATCACGACTTTTGCCATCCTCCCTTCAGTCAAAAGAACAAAAATGAATTCTATAGGAGTGAGTATGCATGTATGAAAGAGAGAAACCATGGGGAAATATGAGACATACTGAGAGAGACAAACTCCCAAGTCAGAGCAAAGTCAGTGAGACGTGCCGAGATCAGAAAGGCCACATCAGAGGTTGCCTTTGAAAGTGGAGCTTAGTGGGCCTCTATGAGTTCCTAACAGTGCTGGACACAAAGACCTATGTGGTTACACTCAGGAGGGGAGGGAAGAGAAGTGGAGGAGAGGGGGAGTGCTTACAGAGCGAAAACATATTGTTTTTACTGCCTACTCATCAGCATTAAAGTGGCCCTGCTCAGCTGACTGGTTGGTCATGGAGGCCTTCACCACCGACCTAAACTCTACATCACACACAGGTGGTCTGTTGTGGTTCCTCGAGCTGTCACGAGTGGATCTGTAAAAGTCTGACAACTGTAGAAACTTTGTTTTGACTCGTCTTTTCATCTGTTGGCACAGAGCTGTCCAGCTGTTTCACTTTACATTTGCTGGGAGAGATTTATTACCCAAGCAGGCTTTCCACAGAGCTGAGCAGATCTGAGATTGTCCTTCCTAGTCACAAACTGAGTTGAGAGAACTCTTCCTTTCCTGGGTTACAGCTGCAGTGGGAAATTCTTCACGATTTATCTTTAGTTCCTCTGGGGTGGGGTTGGTTTTCCTTGGATATACTGTATAGATGTTACTGCTGGGACCCTGGCCCCAGAGTTAAACATTTCTCTGTATTTTGTTAATTTAAGGTCTTTAATGTGTGATTATTTGAAAAGGAACGTCATTAAATCTATTTTATCCGCTACATATATCTTTCATTGTATCAAGAATCTCAGTGATTCCAGAACAACGTTAGTGAGGACGCGATCAGACTGAGCATGTTGACGTCTGTGGTACAGCTGCTTTGGAGACCCCGGCCTCATATTGGGGCGTCTAATTCCTGAGGAAAGAACACAAAATAAAATGTGTTTTCTGATCAACATTCAGTAACAAGCACCAAAAATCTTCTTTTGTGTTCCTTTTCCAGCATTATTTGGCTTGGAGGTTGCAGCATGTGGCATATTTATAATCATCTGCATAGTTATAAATGGAAGGAGACAAGACGGGCCAGGTGGCACGTGCAGCTGCGCTCAGTTTCACATTAATTGGGATGTAAAAAGGAAAGGTGCGCAGGAAGAGGCGTTCGACAGTTTGATACTTGTGGAAACTTCTGTGCATAAGTACTATTCCAATTTTGCGAGTATGGATTCTTTCAGTATGAAAGCTGCGCAGTCTTTCATACATTGGGCTTCAGGGTCTTTAAGAAGACAACAGAGAGTACAAGCACAAAGACTTAAAGTATCAGTAAGAACAATTCAAAAACTGTGAGATCCTGACACTCAGTAAATTTGGTCAGACAACAACAGATGTTGAATCTTAGCTATACAAGGCCTTGTAAAAGTTTTAAACATCAAAATAAACATTCTTCTGGTCATTTCATGGAAAGATTTCATCAAGAAAACAAGGAAAGGAGAGTGGACGCTAGAACAGGAAACTTCTTCTGTTTTTTAAAATCCTTTTCCGTCTGGTACACATAGGGCCGTGAGAAGTATTCTCTGCATGAAAGATACACATTAGAGATTAAAGATTACATTTTAAGAGTTCCAAGTAGGCTATCTAGTTAGAAATGTGTTCTTTGGGTGCCAGGGTGAAGGATTCACTGGTCCTCCCTGAGTCCAGACACACCGAGTTGCATCAGGGCACAAAAATGTTATGCTCAGCGACCATAGGGCTGTAATTACATAGAAGCACTGCTGAGCTCTGCAGGATAAACGTCAAGACCGGAGGGATGGAACAAGGGAACAGGAGAGAGAAGAGGGCAAACTCATGATTTACAGAAGGCTGAGAAAAGGGAAGGGTCTGTGACAAGGAGGTGGGTGGTTCAGAGGGTTAATACTTACGACTTGGAGGAACCAAAGATTTTAGTGTAACTGCAGAATTAAAGACGAATACCAAGGGTCATCTTTTTTTCCCCTAATATACAGATCTTTAAAGTTGCTGACAGATCAGTGTTTCCTTTTTCAAACTCTTACTTGGCCAAATAAAGCAGTTCTACTCAAGTCAAAGTTATGACTGACCAAGCCCAAAATGTAGTGTGACTGACACCTTGTGGATTATAAGTGTAACCACAGATTGATCTTTGTAGAATGAGTAATCTAACACATATATACTGTAAAACATGTATGTGCAACAACTGGAATGCCTGTTCAAGTTCGATGTGCTTGCTAATTTTGTCTCAAAAGCTTGGAAAAGACGACAAGATATTTTGTATAATTAGGGTTTGTCTTGCTTTTTGTTGTCTTTTTTTTGTTTCATGACAATGAATAGATCTACTATGCACTCTGATACTGGAATGTTTTTAACTCATGGTGTCATGTAAGCCCATGCGGGCTGGGCATATAATTGTATGTATGACACAACAGTAAAATAAAAACTTTTTGAACTGTATACAGTGATCAAACCATAACATTATGACCTCTGACAGGTGAAGTGAAGTAATTGTTCATATAACTTGTTACAATGGCCCCTTCCAGTGGAGGATGTAAGGCAGAAAGAAGTGACAGATCCCACCTGCAATCATCATCTGATAGACAACGTAAGCGCTCCTGGAATTGGATGCCAGGCTCTTGTTCCTTTACATCCCCTGATGAGAGTAGTGCCTGTTCAACAGCTCCACAGAGGCTAATAGTGAAGTTACATGTGGGCTTATTTGTTATTAGGCTACATGTGTGGGCTTACTTTAGTTGTATTCAGTTGAAAATCAAACAGTGAACTGTGATTTTTATGTAGAATTTTTTTAAATTGAGATTATGCAGCAAGTAAAAAATGTGTCCACTACGTTTAAGTGTTAAAAGCAGGGGCAAGGGTAAGGTTGTGAGCGACTTTCTCAAGGGCCAAATTGCAGCCTGAGGGTGTTCCTGGTCTGCAGTTGTACCTACCAAAAGTGGTCCAAGGAAGGAAAACCAGTGAACCAGTGAGAAGTCATTGGGGGCCAATGCTCACTAAAGCAAGAGGTAGGTAGAGGATAGCCCGTGGGATCTGATCCAACAGAAGACCTACTCAAGTTATTCAGAAATCTAAATCTGCTGTTCTGAAAGAAAGATGTAAGAACACACAGTTCATCAGGTTTGTTGTGTATTGGGCTGTGTCGTGGATGCTGACCATGTCCACCACAGAAAACGCCATCAATGAGCAGGTCAGCACCAGAACTGGATCAAAAAAAGCAATGGAAAAGGATGACCGGAGGGACATGTGAGAAAAGAGTACAATATGATGACATGGCCTTCAAACTCCTCTGATCTTAATTCAATCGAGCATCTGTGGGATGTGCTGGACAACCAGTGCAATCCATGGAGGCCCCGCTTCTCAATTTAAAGAACTTCACAGATCTGCAGCCCATGAATTTGACCCAACCAAAATCTGCTATATGCCAAATCTGATTAATCAGGAAAACGGGGGGAAAAAAACATCACAATAATTTCAAATTTCCATTTTTATTTGTACATTCACCACTGATAGGCGTACTCAAAGAAAAAATTAAAAACAAAACAGAAACAAACCTTGGTACTAAAATGATAAAATAATGATTAAAAAACAATATTAAAACCATTGTTGAGAAACTCTTTAAGCAACCTCCTCTCATGTGCCTGTATTGACACTACAGGGTAAGAGAACGGAAAGAAGAGGAGCGAGGAAGAAGAGAATCAATGATAAGGACATAATTCTAACTTGCAATATTTTGTGACAGAAAGATTCTCCCTTCTCAGAGAATCGTCTCATATCTTGATTAAAATGAGAGAGAGAGAGGAACACTGCATTGCCTTGGTAGTAATTCCATACCTGTCCAAAAATACGCCAGAGCTGCCTCATTTAAAGACTCGAGTAATCTTTTATGTCTGTACAAAAGGCCAAACAAGCCTTTCCAATATTTTTAGATGCCCTCCTCTGCGCAGAGGACAGAGTTTTCTCTTTAGGCAGAACTGGCAAGAAGAGCCTTGGACTACAAAGCAGCGACAAAAGGATTCCTCATCCAAACAGAGAGCTGTTATATGCCGAGGCCACAAAAATCGATGCAAATTATAGTTGGCACCTACACTTTGGGGAAAATGGGGAGCATTGGGGGAAATTATTAAAAAATTACCCAGTGTGCCATACTGGTATGCCATCAAAACAAAAACCAAGAAAAAAAGAAGAGGCAAACATAAAAAAAAAATAGCAAACCTCGACAGAAGCAAAACATACAGCACTCTGGGAAACAACACTGCAAAGAATCATGGTCCCCTTTAAGCAAGCCTGTGTAGGTGGAGATGTGCTTTAAAAAAGGTGACAATTTGAGAGATGGCGATGACATCAGTTGGTCCTCTGTTGGGTCTTAGTTGTAACAAAGTACATGTAGTGAAAGGCAAATGCAAGAGGTTGGTCTCTAAGACAGTTCCATCTGCTGATTGGCCGTTAACGCCGCCTTTCTCGCGGTTCACTGCGGCTGCGTGAGCGTCGGCCCCCACCGGTCCCGCTGCCCCCCGGCCTACGATAGCCATCCCTGCGTTTGTCGTTTTCCCTCTCCCTCTCCCTGTCTCTGTCTCTACCTCTGTCTCTGTCCCTCTCTCTGTCTTTGTCCTTGTCTTTCTCACCCTCACTGCGCTCTCCCGCTGTACCAGCTGCAGGCTTCATCCTCTCCTTGCGTTGCTCCTCCTCCTTCTTTTTCCCCTCCTCCTCTTCTTGCTCCTTCCATCGTTTCTGGCGCTCCTTAATCCGTTCTGCTCTAGCAGCTTCCCGCTGAACAAACTAAAATGAAGAGGATACACAAAGAAAGTCTTTATTAAGATATCTAGGGGGTCAAAAGCAATGCTTCGAAAATAAAAACACAAAGTATTAAATAAAGAATAGAATCTGGTTTACCTGTTCGTCTGTAAGTGGAAGCCAGTATATGCAAGGAGCGGCTTTAGTTTTGCGGAATAGATCATCAAGCAGCTTTGCAGGAGGATCCTCGGCAGTTTTCTCTGCAAAACATATTTACAAACAACTTTAGAGCTGCAGTGATCACTAACCATTATTGATATTGTACTATTGTACTTTCCAAAAGCCTAAGTTTACTTTTTTGAGTCTGTTGTGTTAAACCAACAGTCCAAAAAACAAAGACCTTCAATTTATGATTCAATGACTCAAAAAAGGGCAGCAAATCATAAGACTAAAGAGGGTGGGAAATACACATTTGAAGACGTTTTGCACAGTAGAAACCAAAAAGAACTTGATTATTAAATGACCCATGACTTACATAAATTGAAACAATGTAATGTTTCAGCTCTGCACAGCATTTACAAAAATGTAGTTCCCTTTATTTAAATAGTCCGAGTCTAAATCTAGTAATGTATCTAACCTTTCTTGTCGGCCTTCTTCTCCTTGCTCTTTCCCCTCTCCTTGCGTCGTCTCTCTCTGGAGCGTGACCTCCTGGCACCTCCTTCTTTCTCTTCTCCAGGTTTTCCAAACTCTTTGACCTTGTCCCGGTCCCACTCCCGCTCTGCTCGAGCCTTCTCCCGGCGCTCCATCTCACGCTCGCGCTCGGCCCACTGGTCTCGGTCAGGGAGGAGAGAAGGCAGGCCTGAGGTTCGACCACGGCCAGAAGCAGGCCCTTGATCCTCTGCTCCTGGTTTGTTGGCCATGCCTTTGTGGAAGTCCAGCTACAAAGCAGAGAGATTTTCAGGCTACAGATGGCTGAGCATTGTGGGTGTAAAAGGACAACAGAAGGATAACAATCAGGTCTTACCTCATCCTGCTGGCAGAAGTCTACACTTAGTACTTTGGGATTGCTTTGAGGCCATTTCACTCCATGAAGAGCTGCCCGTGTAGCAACTGCCTCCTCGGAGCTGCAGTACTGAACACAGAGAACAAAACTCATTTAGACACAGAGAAACCAAGAGCAGTCTGGTTCAAAGCTTAAAAATGTTCTGAGTGAAAAATTACTTAAAATAACTCACAGTGACGTAGCAGTGAGACTTGATTTTGTCAATCCAGAAGCCCTCCTCAACCAGGGAGCCAGTTCTGCTCAGCAGTTCTTTGAGCTGCCCCAGAGTGAATGGCCTCACCTACACAAAATATTTCAGAGCAATATTAGAGTTGGGCTAAAAACCAGTCTATTTTATAATCAATAAGTACAACATCAGAGATGAAAACGTGGGCCGAAGAAAATAACACTAGTGTTGATGGAACTTAGTAAAAAAAAGATCAACTGAGTTTGTGGATGAAATGGAAAAGAGGACGCTCACCAGGTTGCTAATATGGACAATGCTGGAGACTTTGCCTCGGGCTGGCGAGGGCTGGCGTGCCGTGCGGACAGGGTCATCAATTGTGATGGAAACTCCAGTTTTCTGCTGGCTGATGGAGCGACGAATTAGGGTGTCGCTGGGGCTCACTGAGATAAAGAAAAAAACAGTCAACAAAGTATTCCTGCTGAACACTTACACTCTGCTTATAGTTCTCATGCTGTAAAGACAGATAAACCCTTTAAGTTATTAACACTTATATCCCCAAATGACAAAAACCAGGTCCTGATGTTGTCAATAAAAGAGGATTTAAATTTAACATAATCAGTATTGAATTTAGATAATTGTTGAACTTAAAGACGATTGTAAAATTTAAGTTAAAAAAAATTCCTGCTTCAGTTTGTGGAATGAATTAAACGCTTGATAACGACAATTTTGTGATGGATCCATTACCAGTGTTGATTTCTACATCATGGCTGGTACGTGATGGAGAAGAGGGTTCCAAGGCTCCAGAAAAGGAGGTATCCATCTTCTCCTCTTGCTCCCTCATATCTCTATCGCCCTGCATGTCATCCTCCTCCAACTCCTCACATCTGCTCCTCTTCGTCTCTTTCTGTCCATTCTCCTGGCTCTCCGAGTGGACCACCTGCAACAGAAGGAAGTCAACAACACAAGCAACCCTGGTTTAATTACTTTCAACTAACACTTCCCAGTAAATACAGTTCCTAACCTGTCCTTCATGCAAAGCAGATAAAGAGATAACACACCTGTGTTACAGTGCGTCGGATCTGAAGGTCTTGGTCAGAGCGCTCCCTCTCTTCATCCTCAGCCCCAGATAGGACAGCCTCCTCTGGGTGCAGTTCCACTACTGCCTCCTGGCCGAGACACGGCCGGATATCTGGGATCAGAGACTGCCGGCAGAAAACACAGATGCAAAAGATGAGAAGCCAGCTCTTTTCAGCAGAGGAGACAGAGGCAGTGCACCTGCTACACAGTTCATCTTCTCCATAAGTATAAAACAATAAAGTCCAATCAGTCATATTAAGCTGCAAATACCTTGAGTGAATCTGTAGTGATGCTGATTGAAGGTTTCTTGGCGGTGACTGCTGTGCTGGAGCCCCACCTCCTTTACGACCGGCTGCCGCCCCCGACTCCTGATCTCCTTCTGCCCCTCCAGCACCTGGGGACAATTTACTGCCTGTTAAATTAAAAAAAACAAAAACTGAAGCACTGTATGCATCACATATCTATGCAAAATACCTAAGTTTTCAGGGCACATATTCATGAAATGTAAATGATCCTACAACCTGCATCATTTTTGATTTATTCATTTTAAATTCTCCCCAACTAAAAATGCTATAAACCCTTTTAAAGTCTGCAACAGAGAGGATTCAGCAGTACATACGATAATATTAATATTAACAATTCTAAGAATTTGGTCATAAATAAAAACAAAAATTAATTAGGTTTTGCTGAATGAACTCACAAAACGTAATGAACCAGAACAACTCAATATCCTCAAAGAAATCCTCTAGTGCTTCATATTATTAAATCTATATCACCTAATGGTCAAATCAATACATTTTTTCTTTCGCTTTTGTGGATTTGACTTGAATTGTTATGGCCAGATCGTGGCTGCCCTCTAGCGCCCACACATTTCCACCATCTTTCAGTTATTCATGCAACATCTTCAACATGCGCACAATGTAATAAAAGTAGGAAGCATTAGCTTATAGCTGCAAACATTGTGGGCTGTTGCTATAATGATTTTTATTTCAGAACTCTCATGGCAGGAGTCATGTTTTCAAAGGTTTAAGTTATATATAGTATAAGTAATAAAATTAGAACAATAAAATATGAATTCACCAAATTGATCAGGTTTAAAAGCTGATAGAGGAAGAAAGTCATGAGAGTCCACTTACTGCTAAGAGAGATCTTACGAGCTGAGAAGGCCTTTGGCGTCTGAAACACAAGAAGATAAAAACAACCCAACATACATGGGAGAGGTGAGAGGCAGACACGGTGGGTGGAAACAAATGGTCAAAGACAGGTTGGAGGGCTGGTTGAACAATAATAGGTGTAAGTAGGGACTGAGAGGCTGAATGATAGAAGATGCTGTGCAAAGTGTTTTACTAGTCTATTCTAGTCTAATAAATGGCACCAAGCTGTGTACTGTAATGTACTAATACTAATTATTTTCATATTCACCCCTATAGATTCATTAAATAACTCTATACTGCAGTATAAATTCCAGCGTTTAAATTTAGTTATTTGAAAACTCTGAAGTTTATTGGAGTTATGTTACTATTCCAACACAAAGAGGTGAAAATAAACTAGGATTACTGATTAAAAAAAATAGAACTAGTTTGATTTAACTGCAGTAGCCACAAATATGATAAAACATTTTTGAAAAGTTCCTTCTCCCAACAAAGATTTATGAGTGTCTAATTGGAAACTTAGCATTTTACTGCATGAAAAATAACATTGAGTAAACGTCTACTTATTCCCTGGTACCACTGACACCTGATCCTTACTGGTTTGGAAATGGCCCAATCACGACTGCATGTATGTATCTAGGCAACAAGGGTCCAATCAAAGGTGGCTGAGAAGTTTGGATGGAAATCTGAATGCTTGCTGGCTGGCAGGACGTTTTTTCAAGAGTTCATTGGGGCAGGGGCTTTTAAAATTCTTTGCGCCATAGTCGTTCTCCTCAGTAGTTTTGGCATTAGTCCTTTCAAAATGTTGGAGGCTCTTATAGTAACAGAACAAAACAAGTCCAATGAGCTGGAAGCCAAATGTTGATTGTTGTCAAAAGTCCCCGTGCACATGAATCCTGAATTTTGATTTCTGTTGTCTTTAAGAAGCAATGTGTTCAAAACAAGAGTCACTTGGTAGCAAAACTCTGGCAATGGCTGTTGTTGAAAGAGACCAGATGACAAATCCATCTACAGTTCAAATAAAGATCTCTGGTCCATTTATTCCAGATGAAGGAATTGACTCATCATTCAGTGTCCAATGATAGCATTTTTTTTGGAGAACATGAAGTCCATTTCCAAATGATTAGAAAAATCCAAAATGTCCTTTGTCATGCATTTCACCAACCACATTATGTGACGTGTCCATAGTACCCCACATCTCTGTGTGAAGGGGTCAAAATGTCTCAAAAGTGAAACAGGGTGAGAAAACATCTGTTGTTGAGAGTTAAGTAGCAGCTTTGACTTGATGTGGGCACATGTCCTTGGTTGTCTCTTCTCCATGTGGATTTTAAGAACACATGGTCAGATTAGTGGATAAAAGGCTAGGAAAGGCCGGGCACATTGACTAGCCAAAACCCTCTTTGAAACTGCAAGTCCAATCAAGAGCTCTTGCAAGCCATGTCCATGAAAATGAGGCAGCCATTGTTGCCAGGGGGGTCCCTCTGCAGTGCTGCCCTGGGGGCTTATCTGTGGTCAACTCTGGATGCTTGGGGACAGTGGAACAGGTGCAGCAGTAGCAGTAGCAGTAGTAGTAGAAGTAGTAGTAGTAGTGGCAGAGGTAGTACGCAGGTACCAAAAGGGGCAATGGAAGAGGCATGAGCACCTTTACAACAAAGCAATCATTTGGGGTTTAAACATCAGCCACAGTGAGAAAACACCCTTGCTGTTTCTGGCTAGATCAGTGCCAACAAAGGTTTAACAAAAAAACACTTAAAAAATGATGTCCTAAACATTTTCTTCCACTTTTGAAAAGTCTTGAAGTTGGAGTATTTTTTAAAGTAAAAAAAGATTTCCAACAAAAGTAAAGACATAATAAAATAACCGATACTGTTTCACAACAAAGTTAAAAAACTATATACAACTCAGAGATTCTATTATAAATTCTCAAGTGGATCTGATCATCTAAGTCCTCAGCGAACAACAGTTTTGAGGACCAAGAAGAATCAAGGGTCTTCCAACTACTTACCTCCTCGCTGGTCTCTGGAAGCTTCTCTGGCTCTGCCATGGCAGTCTCCTGCTCCTGCCTGTGTAGGGACACATTAAAGCATACATATGCATAGATTAAACTGAGTAATGGATCACAGATTAAAACGTCATAATCGCTTAAAATAAAAGTAACATTTGATTTCTAAATTGAAACTCATTAAAATGTGAGAATACCTCCTCATTGTATGAGGAAAAGGGGCTAAAATGCACTGGCTTCCTTTAAATGTGGAAATATCAAATAAGTCGATATTAATGACTAATTTAGTCTATTCTGCCTTTTTCAATGTTGATTAATTCAAAAGTATATCTTCTATTCTTTCTATATGGTTTTAGGCGGGTAAGCTTTCTTTCCTCCTTGGCTCGAGCGTTAATATCAATAGTTGCTAGGCAACGGCGATGCGCACCTTCAAGAGGGGGAAAAAGTAGCAAATACTGAAATGATACACTGGCTATAATGCATGCAGTCAATATGACCGCTATGGACTTTCAAGGTAGAAATACTCAAAACTCTTTTGTGTTTTTGATAAAATAACAATGCTAGAATAAAATATACATTTAGGAAAATTCATGGTCCTGTAGTTACATAGATTTTATTTTAATTAAGTTATTACATTGCAAAATTAAAAAACAGTCAAATGACTGCCTTCGTTGTTCTAGTGTTAAATAATGTCAACTCCATTTAAAAAAAAAATTATCAGCTAATGATACTACTCGACTAAGATACACAAACAACGAGCAGGCAATGCCAAAATAACAGCAACATTGTAATGAATCTCACAATATTGACAACAGCAACTTTGTCAATTCATAAATACGTTTCTCTTAAATTTTCAAAAGGGGGGCGAGGAATTAAACGGATGGTTGAGAACAGAGGCACCGCAATCCTTCAGACCCGCAGAGTCCAGACCATTGACTGTCGCGTACCTACCGCTACACTCGCGGGAGCCCGTCCTCTAATTCCGACTCCCATTAACTTAAAACGCAGCATACAGGCAGACTGCTGCTGCTGCTGCTGCTGCTGCTAAAATGACTGCGACGCAAAGAGCCAGCTCTCTCTCCCCTCCTCCTACCTTCCTCTCACCAGAGACTGCTCCTCTCTGAACGCTTTCATGTCCGCGCCGGCTCTCACACTAACCCCCGCCTGCTGCTGCGCTGAGCCGCTGAATGAAAACCACAGGCCGGCATCAACAGCTAAAGCCATCGACGGAGCTCAGCCATGTTGTACAGAAATGAGAAAAAAAAAAAAAAAAGATCGTGGATGGAAAGGACCCACATCTTCTCAGCCACACCGGCTTCAAGGCAGCCTCATCAATTGCCTGATGGGAAATTCAACACCAGCATCTCTGATGACATCGTTTTATCATCGCTTTGTAATGCATGTAAATGACGCGGCTGGAGAGGGAGTGTGTCATGTGTTGGAAATAACCACCTTGTAATAACGTCCACAAAACAAGCATACGATTCTGAGAATTCAGTGCAATACTGTGATGTCTGATGACAATACGAAACAATGAAGCCTGGACTTCTTTTAATTTTTAAATAGTCCCGATCAGACAAGTTGCTTTGATGCATTTTTAAGAGTCGACGTCCATTTGTCGCATATAACAAGTACATTTTTTGGGCAAATTTCCAAAGAAAATAGGGGAAAGTGTTCCATCTATTGCTGAGTACTAAAGTCCAAACACCTGCTTTTCTGATATTTGATTCTTTAAGACAGACAAAGCAACACAGTACACTATGATGATGAGAGAAAGGAAAATTGCAAAAGCTGTGAAATCGAAAGCCTTTTGACACAGCACTGAAATGCTCCTGACTTGCCTGTTCATACATGCACCTCACAGCGGGAGACAATCCCTGTTTGATGGGTCTCTCAGGACCAGAACATGGCGGATGCAGAATTGGCAAACGAAGCAACAGAGTTGACGCTGTGATGACAGTTTGTGCCTTTAAATCAATGCTACATGTGTTTTCACTGTATTAACAAATTAGTGGTAACGAACACACGTTCAAGCAGAAAAAGGTATAAAGCATCTTCACTATGTGCACGATAGTCGCACCTGTTATGACGGCCCCGTGATTTAAATGTCATCACACCTGCCAGCTTGTGGGGAATTGTCTTTAATATTTCCGGCTGTGTTCACATATAAGCTCATTCAGAAAGTTCACTAGGGAACTCAACTGGCAGAAAACATATAAGCAAAGTTCAAGGTGGAAAATTCAGCAGTTAGCGTTCACAAATGCAGCGCAACCCTATTGTTTATGTGAAATCACTAAAAAGTGTCTTTTTGAGGCACCGGTAGCCTAATAGCTAGTGTGCGTGCCTCATGTAGGGAGGCTATAGTCCTCCAAGCAGGCGGCTTGGGTTCAAATCCAACCTGTGGCTCCTTTCCTGCATCATCATGTCATTGGTCACTCTCTGTCCCTGATTTCTGACTTTATCCACTGCCCTGTCTCTAGAATTAAGGCGTAAGAACCAAAATCTTAGTTCAAAGTTTTTCTCTCTTAAAGATATTTCATGTTTTTATTTTCATAAAAACAATTTAATATCTTAACATTTATTGAATGACACCAGTATGACATTTCCTTTCCTAACAGAATAAAACATTGATGTTACTCAAGGCAATCAAATCACCACCGAGAAAATAAAATGATGAGCTCCCTTGGCTTGAACAAACTACAAAGAACAGCTTTCGCATTTAATATGATACTGAAAACAAATAATCATATTTGGAATATATTTTCCTTTTTAAAGGAAGGAGACAAGGTTTGTATGGGTATTGCTAGATTTGCTCTTTCTACGAGTTGATTGAGGAAAATGGCAGTCCACAGGGATCATCAAAAAACTGCCCAATCAGAAGCAGGCTAGCTGAGATGAGCACACAAATGCTCTTTAAAAACTGAAAAAAAGAACAAGAAAAAAACAGAAATTTACCCCTTTCTTTTTCTGAAAAAACAAAAAAAACTCCAATGGCTCGTCAGAACCGAACCGAAAACAGCGACAAAAAAAACAAAAACAATGAACTGTGGGCTGATTGTATTGTTGCATCCATAGCAACTAGTGCCATAAAGAATGGTTGTAATCTCTGTTGTATTTACAGCAGATGATAAAAAGAGAGCGACTACAACCAGGCAGCCCGCAGACTTTTCTTCAGCACTCTGTTAATTTCTGACAAACAGACAGACGATGTTAAGGACATGTTTTAAAAGTTCATGACATCAGTGCAAACCTGTGTTCGTCATTTTCCTCCTCTCCTTTGCTGTCCTTCCTCTGCCTCTGGGTGTCATCGCTTGTTAGTGCTTCAATGAATGGCTTCTGGGAATTTAAAAGGCAAGGGAGTTGAAGACCAAAAAACAACTGTATGTAACGTGTTGAGTAGTTAAAGTAATCCCAGCATAGAGAAAACAATAAACACCAGTCATAAATGAATCAGGAGAATTTAGATTTTAGGTGGAACGTATTTTCTTAGACATTTAAATTGTAGGTAAGACGGGATAACACACTGTGGCAAAGATGTTGTTAAAAAAAAATCAACCTATGTGCAACCGACCTTGGCTTGTCTGTCTCCATCAGCAGTTGTGTCACTCTTCTCGACAGATTTCTGTGGGGACGCTTTTGGAGCCTTCTTTAAATCCTTATTCTGAGCCTCTACAGTCACCCTGTGCTGTGGTGAGGATTTTCTTTCTGGTTTCCCTTCCTAAAAAAAAGACAAACAAAGAAGCAATATTATATGCACAGAAATAGACACAAAACAAGCTGCATGCTTTATTTAAATTTGTATATTTGCCATGTGTTTCTTTTCCCCTAAACATCTCACACATGAATGGTTCTATCTCATTGATTTTTGTTTAATGGCACCAACATGTAATCAAGAGACAAAAGTCTGCTATTTCCTTTTATCATAAGATCAGTCAGTTTTGTCAGTATAATCTCTTTGGTTTTGTTTATAAGCTTTATACTGGTCAAAACATTAACATAAAACATCATACTCAAATCTATGCTGTAACAGAATGGCTAGCATTAAACCTAAAAACAGAAATTACCAGGGTTGTCGACGTAACAACAATATCGCAATACCCTGCTGATGAAAAGCTGAACAGAGGGGACGACATGGCTGACAACACTTCAACAGCCTTGCAGGAAAAAATACTCTATATTGGACACAATCTGATACAGCAGATTGTTAATCCATGTAAAACAAGACCCTCGTGTGATATGACAATTGCAAGGTAAGCTAGCATGACGACTGGGGAAGGGGAGAAGAGGAGGGATAAAATGGTTGAGGAAGACCTTTGAATCACGAGAGACCACATGTTACACACACACTTACTTGTAGAACATGTTTTAACAGTAGAAGGATACGTTTTAGCCAACATCCAATCTCGATAATTTTTTTAACTATTGCAAGTCCCTTAGTCTTTGAAGGCTTGAATACTGTTGCCATGCAGACTTTTCCTAATATGGTGCAGACCTACTGTGCTCTAAGGTTATCAAAATTTGAGATGATACCGTATGTTTTAAGGTGTCTAGTGAACATCAAAAACAAAAAGTGCCACGGCTTTAAAAAATACTATTCAAAGCTTCACAGGTCGACATACTCAAAGACTTTCCTCTAGTCATTTTGGCCTCTCATAAAAATGGGGAAGTTACATTGATGTCTCAAATAGATAGCATAAGATGGTAAATCTCCTAATGTAACCCTTGAATACTGGCATTGTGAAAACCCTTTTAAGCCCCAACATGTGTTTTTTCCTCTAATGAATGAATGTAGCAGACTACAGTGAAAGGCACCTTCTATTGTAATGCCATGTGATTGACTTTGAACAAATTGTGTCTAAAAAGTGTCATGTGGTTATTTAACGGCTCCATGGCTATTAATGATCTCAGATAAATTGGCAATTGTGGATTAATTTAAAAAAGCCTTCAGTCATGCCTTCTTATTAGACGACTCTGGTTGTATGAATCTTTTCACACCTTGTCTTCGAGTATTTTGTGTCATAGAAAAAGAGGTTTCTTTTTAAACACTTACCTTTCTATCTCTTAAGGTGGGAGTTTTCTCTCGAGAAGATGTGGATGAGCTAGACGATCGAGATGATGAGGAGCCAGAGTCCGATTCTGAGGAAGAGGAATCATTTGACGATGAACGTCGTCTTGCTTTTTTGTCTGCCTTCTTTGCATCTCTACCTCTGCGATGTGAGTCTTCCGCTGGGCTTGCAGGACCCCTTTCATCTACTCCTTTTTCTTTTTGGGTGGATACTGTTTCAACTTGTTTCTTGTTCCCCGAATCTGCTTTGTCTTTATCCTCCAATATGGGGCTGGTTGCCTCTTCTTTTTTAGGACCCTGGACAAGTTTGGTACTAACTGTGGTCTCCTTGTCAGGCTGGGTGTCCACAGATCCCTCTGATTTTGTCTGCATCTGTCGATCCTCATGCTCAGCGGAGGGCTTGTGTCCTTCTTGCTGTTTCTCTGCGACATTAGCAGAGACAGGTGAGGCCCAAAGCTGGGGGGTGTCAGAGAAGTTACGCGGCCGCTTGATGAAAATGGATGTGGAGGAAGGTTGGGGCTGAACTGGGGAGTCTCTAAAGAACCGAAACTTCTTGAATGAGGACTGAGGCGACAAGGGAGTTGCTGACATAGGTGCACCAGAGTCTGCTGCTTCACTCCTGGACACAGGAGCATGGACATCTTCTTGCTCTGCAGCCTCTGTTGATGCCTTTCTGACCGGTCCTGTGGAGAGGGGGGGAGCAGTGGATGTGAGACCAATCTCACGACCACGTTTGAATGGAGGGAGATGACTCTCCCTCTCTTTTTCAGCCATCCTAGATCGCTCTTTCTCCTGCTCCAGAGCCCTCTCCTGCTCCTCCTTTTCTTTCTGAATGGCTTTCTCCTTCTCTAACCTTTCACATTCGAGGGATCTCTCCTTCTCTTGCTCCTTCCTTTCCTTCTCCAACGCCCTCTCCCTTTCAAGTTTCTCCTGTTCTAAGGCTTTTTCCCTCTCCAGCTTCTCTTTCCTTTCCTTCTCAGCTCGTTCCCTCTCCATCCTCTCCTTTTCTAAAGCTGCCTGCCTCTCCATCCTCTCCTTTTCCAGAGCTGCTTCCTTGTCCATCCTCTCCTTTTCCAGAGCTGCTTCCTTCTCCATCCTCTCCTTTTCCAGAGCTGCCTCTCTCTCCATCCTCTCCTTTTCCAGAGCTGCCTCTCTCTCCAGCCTTTCCTTTTCCAGAGCTGCCAGCCTCTCTTGCTCAAAGGTTTTTTCCCTCTCTATCCTCTCTTGCTCCATTGCTTTCTCTCTTTCAAGTCTCTCTTTCTCCTTCCTCTCAAGCTCTAACCTCTGTTGTTCTAGCGCTCTCTCCCTCTCCAACCTTTCTTGCTCCAGAGCTTTTTCTCTTTCTACTCTCTCTCGTTCAAAGGCTCTCTCCCTCTCGATCCTTTCTAACTCTAAAGCTTTTTCTTTCTCAATCCTCTCTCGCTCTAGGGCTCTCTCCCTTTCTAGTCGTTCTTGCTCCAAGGCCTTCTCTCTCTCTAGTCTTTCTTGCTCTAAAGCTTTCTCCCTCTCTAACCTTTCCCTTTCAACCCTTTGCTGCTCCAAAGCCTTTTCCCTCTCAATTCTCTCCTTCTCCTTCCTCTCAGCCTCCAGAGCTTTTTCCTTCTCTAACCTCTCTTGCTCAAGAGCCCGTTCTCTCTCCTTCCTTTCCTGCTCCAAAGCCCTGGCCCTTTCTAGCTCCATTGCTCTCTCCCGCTCCTCTTTTTCTCTCTGCAAACGCTCTTGTTCCAGGACCCTCTGCCTTTCAAGCTCTCTCTGTCTCTCCAGCTCCAGGGCCCTCTGCCTTTCGAGCTCCTTCTGCCTCTCAAGCTCCAGGGCTCGCTCTCGTGCCAGGGCTTGCTCTCGCTCCTCCCTCTCTTTAGCCAAAGCTAGTTCCCTTTCCTGTCTCTCTCGCTCTTGAGCGAGCTCCCTCTCCCGCTGCAAAGCCCTTTCCCGTTCTTCTCTTTCCAAGGCTTGCTGTCGTTCTATTCTCTCTTTTTCCAAAGCTCTCTCTCTTTCCTCTCTCTCCTTTGCAAGAGCTCTTTGGCACTCTTCCTCCATTGCTCGTTCCTGCTCAAGTTTTCTCTGCCTCTCCAGCTCAAGGGCCTTTTCTCTTTCTATCTCAGAGTCCCTCTCTCTATCCCTCTCTTCCGTTGCAGTGGCTTTTAGTACACTCACAGGTACTTGAATGTGGGCCGGATGTGCTCCTAAGACACCCTGGTTGGCGCCTGGAATCATGGGAAATGGTGGCACATGGCCTGCAGTGTTAGCTGTGTGAGTGATGGCTGATACCAGAGCCTCTGGAGGCCCTCTTCCAGGAAATGATGTGGCCAAGGGTGAACTACTGTCCTGCCTATCGCCTCCCCCAACACCGCCATGCCAACCTGCTCCTGAAAAAGCCCCTTCTGATGCCATCTTTCTGGCCAGAAGGGTCAGCGGGCCGGGCTTGCGCTCGGCATGTCCACTCCTCTGTGGTTCTGGGCTGCTGCTGCGGCTGCCGCTGCTCGAGGAACCAGAGCTGGAGGAACTTGGTGAACGTTGAGCTTGGGCTGCATCTGGACTTGGGGGGCTCTGCTTTGGGGTGTCAGGTAAGGGAAATGATAACTCTGGAGGTGGGGAGGGAGGAGGTGTTGGCTGGCGGAGTTGAGGGGACATAAGGGAAGGCATGTGTTGCTGTGGTGGCTGACAGGAAGCTCCAGACCTCTCTCTGCTCGTCGGCACTCTGGCTGCCTCTCTCACGTTTCTCCTCCGAGCACCACTGTCCCAGTCCTCATCGTCACCATCCTCATCTCCATCCTCGCTGTCCTCATCTTCGCTGTCAGCAGCGACTTCATTGGATGAAGTTCCCCTCTCTGTCCGTGGCTCACCACCAGGAACACGCATTGCCACAGAACCGGAAGCAGGAGGACCAGACATGTCAGCATCCTGGTTCCTGTTGACTTCTCCCTCATTTGCTGCACCAAACAACCCCTCCCCACCAGAGGGGCCAGGGGGCTTGTGCTGCTCGGCCATTGTTGGCGTGACATCCTAATGAGGACAGAAACACAGGTAAGACTTATAGAACGTTTTCATCCATTTAATTGATTCGGCCATCAATTCTTACCAGCAAGTTCCTTTCAAATGTGATACATCTTTAGGAGCAGAGAATGTCCAGACAAAGAAACAGTGTAATGTAAACAATGTCTATTACGGCAATAAATGAGAACAGAACGTAATTTCTGACCTGGGCTTGAGGGGGACACATTGTACTGTTGTTTACTTCTGTGTGGTCCTCTTGGTCTGTTTACAAAAGACAAATAAATAAAATCAAGAATGTAATGCATAATAAATATGTGTACATAAATGACTTCGTTGCATTGGACAATTCTTACCATTCGTTTCATACGCTTCACGAGCCTCTCTCTCAAGACGCTGCCTCAGGAGCTCCTGTTGTTTAGCCAGGTACTGCTTGATGAAGCTGTTCTGGCTCATTTCCTCACCAATCTAAAAGCAAAAACCATAAAAAAATAAGGTGCACGCCATCACGGCCATTTGCACATAATCCTTATACATTTTTGTGAGAATTAATCTATTGCATATTTTGTCATTTTTATTTTAGTTATCTGCAAAAACAATACATACATATATTTAAATGTTCAAATCTTTGAGCCACTTACCTGTGAGTTTGGCTGCAGCCCAATATGAGCAGTGGAGGTCCTCTGCAGATTCTCCAGCATGAGAGCCTGTTGTTGAAATAAGAATGTGTTCGTTAAAGGAATTAACAGGAAGGAATTCATCCAGAGTTGGAAGGGTTGGTATTAGTGCTTTTTAAATGAAATGGCTGAGTGACAACAAAAGTTTTTGGATAATGTTTCGGTAATGATTTCCACTTTGCGTCCAACATTGTTTTACTTTTTTGAGTGTCTGTGTGCCTTTGTATGTTATCACCAAAAATGTGAAAACATCAACATTATGGCCTCAGTTAATGATTTCAGGTATATGTTGCTGTATACTCACATACAAGAGCAACTGAAACCCTGTGCAGGGTTAGAAGAATATTGCATATATCATAGTATCAAGAACATACTTCACGTGTATGTTTAATGGTTTAATCTCCAATACGCAGGAAGGCATAAAATATGTGGTGACTTTTCAAACCTACAGTGAAGTTTGACCAATCAAGGCTGATATACACAAATAGTTAATGTTCAATTAAAACATCAGTCATTTTAAAAGGTATTTGAAAATTGCATTGTATAAACATTTAAAAGACATTGTAGCAAAATGTTTTGTAACATCATAAAGCAAAACAATAGCGTCCCGAGTTCTGGTGTGATTAAAGGGTAACATATAGGTATACATAACGAATGACAAACGCTTATGATGGAAATGCAAACATAAAATGGACTTGATGCCTTAACGGTTTACGACCAACTAAAGATAGTTAACCAGACTACCCAATAAAAAAAATGTATGGTCTGACTTTAAAGACTTGAATGACCAAGTTTGTTAGATTGAGTACCAGTAGTAATGTAATCAAATCAAAAAGCATTACTAGCTTTGGCAGAACATATCAAATTCCTTCTATTTCAATACATTTTATCAATATTTAATAAAAAATATATGTTGGATCGCCCTGAAAGTTACACAAAAACAAACATGCCACTGATACATGTAAATATGAACCGAAAGAGGTTGTTTTGAAACACAGAGCATAAACACTTCATTATTTGAGTTTTCTCTTAATGCATCCAAAGCCTTGGAAGAAATCATCATGATAAATTATTTGACCACAGGATCTAGGGGTCTAAAAAGATTTGATAAAATGTTGCACTTCTGGTAATTGCATCAAAACATGCAAGCTAGATGGAGTAAGAGTATAGGCAACCTTTTAAGTTACTATTGGGGTGAGACAGTGTGAAATAACGTCAACAATTTGTTATGGATGGCCTCTTTAACAGTAGAAAGGGAGAACGTATTGGGCATAACGGGGCGGCAGTAGCTCAGTCTGTAGGGACTCGGGTTGGGAACCGGAGGGTTGCTGGTTCAAGTACCAAATATGGAAGTTGGTCTGGTAGCTGGAGAGGTGCCAGATCGCTTCCTGAGCACTGCCGAGGTGCCCTTGAGCAAGGCACCAAACCCCCTACCCACCACCAGCTCAGGAGCGCCCGCTGTGGGCAGATCCGTCCCTCTGACATCTCTCCATTAGTGCATGGATCCTGTTTGTGCATGTGTGTATATTTCAGCCTGCGTGTGTGTTGCATGACTTACAGAGAGTAAAAACTGAATTTCCCCTTGCGGGATCAATAAAAGTAAATCTTAATCTTATAATGGTAAACCTTTTCATACAGTGATGAGTTAATGGTATTGTCTCCTTGAAGTGTTGGATTACAGAAACTGTTCAGTATTTGCTCCACTTATTGTTTGCAATTGATATCAGGTTAAACTTTAAAAAAGGCTTGTTTTTTTCCCACGGCTATAAGGCTATTAACGTAACCTTACGTAACATTTAATGATGCATTAGGAATCTTTTTAATCTCTTATATTCCACAAGTGCGAACCATAATTTTGTGAGTATTATTTTTACAATTTCCCTTGGTATCTTGAGCATATACATCTTGAGTTGTGGTGAAATGTTTCACAAAATGTTATCACAGAGGCCCTAATTGACCCCCCACACACACAGTAAGCAGCACAATGTTTTTATTTGGCTTTAGGATACAATCAATGTGTTTTGATGTTGCCTGGTGAACTGCAGTAACCTTGCCGCTGTTTAGTTAGCCTTATACATTTAAATTAATTGTTATTTTAATATGGCCCTGCGTGTGTGAAATAAAGTACTTTAAAAAAATGAATACGAATTATGGACGAAACATTAAGTTCCCGGTTAAACGCATGCACTTAAACAGAGCCGGGAACACAGACCACTATCGGTAACACAGTAGAAACCCAGGCCACCGCGTTAGCCCGGGGAGCTAACATGCTAACAAGACAACATCACTTTCAGAATGGACACCAAGTTTACTGAACTCCCGGAGTAGCTGCAGATTCTGTATTTCTGCACATCTAAAACAGTGCTCGGGCACGCTGTCGTGCAAGGAGACGCATTTCAGCTGGTTATGTTGTTGGTTAACCTCGATAAGTGTACTCCGCCGCTCGGCAGTAACGATACTCAGTGGTCGGGCCTCTGGAGAGCATCAGCCCGTCTCACCGTCAACGCTACCTCGCAGAAACCCAACTCCGGTGCCGCAGAGCGAAACTCACCCCCTTAAGTCTTTTAACGAGCGCATTCTTCTGCCCGCTTTTTGAAAGCCCTCTTTCTTCTAGGGCAGCTTTTAAGTCCGCAACTCGAAGGGACTGGAGCGGTCTCCCGTCCAGGGTAACGTCTTCGAGATCCGCCATTTTCCGTTCCTCTAGTCAGTTCCCAACGAGAGCGACGAGCAACGCCTTCCTCCACGCAGCGTCACCGCCGACCACTTCCCCCTAATCAAATAAACTATAGATTTACTATTATTCAAAAATAGCAGTAAACAAAATACACAATCAGTATATCTGTGTATATATGTTTTTAATTAATATACAACACGTCGTTAATATCCTTTTAATAATATTATTACATCGCTCTGCGCAAATTCTGCGCAAACGTGACTTCTTACACAAAAGCCATTGAGCCGCATTCACTCTTCTTGTGTTTACCAAGCGAGAGAACTGGTTTGTCTAACTTTCCCCCTTTTTTTAGCTGTTCTGTGGTGTTTTACGTTAAAGGGAATAAAGACTTGAAACAACTGTGTTAAAAACGTTTAATTGTGATGCAGTGTGTCTATCTAGGCTCAGGGTTAAGCTTCATATTAACGCTCGGAGTAATCTTTTGAAGAAATCTCATGGAGACAAAGGAGTGCAATAAAAAAAGGAAAATTCAGTAAAAGAAGAGACTCAAGTTGGTCGTGTGAGCAGGATTTAGTATACCTCTTAGAAAATGTAATAAATGTGTAAACATAAAGACAAACAAAAGTATGTGGAACTATATAAAAAAAGAAGAAATTAAGTAAATGTGGCGGTAAAACGCCAATTAACTTAAAAAAATATAGACTACAGATGAAAAAAAACCCGAATGGGTAGTGTAGTTTATTCTATATTAAATAAATATTCAATAATAATTATGTGCATCATCTTATCATCATCATCACTTATCGTTTAATTATTTCCTTAGGCAACTTATATGCTTAAATATATGGACACATTATTTATTTGGAAATAACTACGGAAGCCCTCAGGGGACATACATCAACACATTTTATTTTACTCCTTCCTCCTTAGATAACGAGCATATTTGGTTGTTTTCTCAGGATGAGGACTTTTTTATGGCATTATCTCAGGATAGCAACACTTGTTTGAAATATGGCCTGTAGTTTCTCAAAATTATTTATTTTCATTTTGTGTTCATTTGCTGTTTAGACAGGAAGCAGTTGCGTAACAATATTAGTTTTTTTCTTTATTCAATATGATTTGCAAAACTGCCCCACTAGTTGGAATCTTTGCTGAATTTGACTTTTAACCCTCAGCAAGATGCCAAAGGAAAATGGCTGCTGTCTGAAAAGAGTGAATTTGGACCTGACTTTCAACAACTTTGATGCAGAAGTTGATACTTGGTTGTTTGATCCATAAACGTTTTACCTACCAATGAGTACATCTGATGATGGCTAACAAGGGCAAACACACTGCAACAGCCTGCAAGATGACCACACGGAGAAACCGGCTGCAATGCAACATCTAAAGACACCAAGAATCAAATTCAAAAATACATTACAGGGTTAGGGTCCCTTTTTTCTGATACCTTTTTACTGATATGCAGTTTCAGTTACTAATAATATTAATAAAAAAGTAATACATCTTTAAACTGGTGGTTTGGTTTTGATTTTGTAGGTCATATAGAGGCATCAGAATTCATTTCAGTCTGTTTTAAAATATGTTAAAGATTCCTCAGGGTCTTTATTTTTTGTATTTAAATTTAAATATGTAAATCAAATCTACACACATCAACCTGACTGTTTTGGCAATGTATGTTTTATTTGTGTCTTTTAATGTCTTATTGTGTCTTTTTTTATTTGTATGTGTGGCTCCTTGCCGTTTGTGTGGAACTCTGTCAATTGTGCTGCTGCCTGTTTTGGCCAAGGCACTCTTGAAAAGGAGATTTTAAATCTTACAGAGGTTCTTTCCTGGTTAAATACAATTAAAATAAATAAATGTGTATGAGGAAAATGGAGCACCTAGAGGAAAAACCCAGTAACATTAAGAAAACAGAGAAATCTTCAAACATTTCATCACTGAAATTCATACTTGTGTTAATTTTTCATGCTTCATTAGTTTTGCCCTCTTGTTTTATTTTCTTTTTTGAGCAGCACTAATTTATCTGGGTGCGTTCTTGTTGTCTAAATTGAGCGTTCATGTTGAATGTAATAAACATTGTTGGTGAATAGTCTGAATCTGTATAATGACTACCATTGTTTAAACTCACTGAATTCGGTTCATCAATGTTTTCTGTCAACCTCATTAGGAAAATATGTTGTCATGCCTCCAGGGTAGATTAGTTTCTTTCTGCCTTTGTGTAACTAGTTCTTGTTTTCCAAACATTATAAACCAGTGATGTTAGACATTCTGAATCATTGTGTTGTAAGCCAGGTATCGGGTATGAACTGAGGATATGAAATGATGAGAGGAAAATAATGGCACTGATTTTTCTACACGTCTGTTTCCCTCTAACATCCGTACATACCGGTCCTTCAAATGTATCATTATGATCCATAATGCCATTAAAAACATCTGTCGTGAGCCATTTTAGAGAAATGATTTGGAGTGGACTCATCTCATGTCAACATCTAGCATCATGTGGTACACAAACAATGTGGGACGCCCTGTAGCTACACGCTCTTTCAGGTGTTTTCGCACATTTTATTTAATTACACATTATGACACAATGTATGTTATCTCCGGAACATCGCTGTCCCCTTCTTCATAATTTGAATCTCCTTTATCTTCGGTTGACTCAGGCATTTCAGTGTCTTCTGATCTTTGCTTGGAGTGTTCCTGTGTTTCATCAATGCCCTTAAGTCTCAACAGGGTCCTGCGGTTAGACATACAGAGGCCAAGTCTGTTGAGCCGAGCAATACACCTTTTCTTTGTCCCTCCCTGTCTCAGGATCATTGAGTTGATGTACAACGGTGCACACATGCAGGATGACCGTGCTCTTAATAGCAACGCACCGCCCATCGCCATCGGTAATGGCTTGTCTTTTGGTGTTAGTGTCTGATTTTCAAAGACTTTGCTTGCATGTCGGAGGAACTGAAGAAAAGTGGGTGCTGTGGTCTTCCACTCGCTCATCACTTTGTCCCAGCTGAAGGATTTCAGAGCCGCCGGGTCGTTCTCTCGAAGTGCTGAGTTGAATGTCACACTGGTCAGAGTCTCACACTCTTTGTCCAGCACTTTGAGCACTTCGGCAACAATATGGTCCTTAAAGCCAGGCACTTTCATCATCGCTTTGGGGAGGCGTTGAAATCTTCCTCGCAGAATGATATCACCGACTCTTCTCCACGGGCCACTCAGCACTCTGCTCCTATGGGAGCGTCCAGTCTGTATAACCTTAAATGTCAAAGAATGAACATTAATATTTCATACTATTATGAGACAATGAATAAGAAAAAAATTGTGACAACAGCATTGGACAAAACATTTCCTCCAGGAAGTAGCCATGTCGAGGTTGCAACATTCAATGCAAATTCAAACAATTCCTGTGTTGCATTCTGCAGCATCTAGAATTTTGTTTAAGCACCATAGCTGTTCTGATTATTTTTTTTAATCACTTGATGATGTCAGACTGTACAATTTACATTATCTTTGAGATGCTACATGCTAAAGACTAACTTTTTTATAGTTGTGAAGCAGACAACAGAGCTGCTCTGACCAGGCTCATCTTAAAGTTTCTCTTTCATGTCTACTCAAATTGAACATCCATTTATTTTCAAATGTTTTTTAAAACCGTTTGCTGTCTATGTAGCCATACCATGATGCATCTTGGTTTAATATACTGGACTATCAGAGGCTGTGGTCATAACTTTCCACCAATCAGACCCTCTGTTACTCATGTATGGGTCTGCACTGATCCTGAAGTCATTATAGGATGAGAGAGGAATCTCCATGTCTCATTACCACCTAATAATGCGTAGAGTAGGGTAATGAATAACAAGAAAAATCTCTTTGCACAAATGGATAGCCTCAAAATGTGCAAAATCAGCATTTCATGGCTATTAAACATGTTTTTTATTTACCCATTATATTTGGCCTCTTCTATCAGGTATCGACTGGAAGTGATGTCACAATAAAAACAGCTGGCTCAGGCTATACTATACATGGTTCTATTGGATCATGTACACAAAAATTGCAGTGCAACTTTTTCTTTTTTTAAATGCAGCTGCATCGGGCATTTTATGCCTCGAATATCACAGACAAAAAAAAAACAAGATCTTGAAGGGACTGATAGAATTACCTTGATCTCTTTTTTCCTCTCTTCTTGCGGTGTTAGTCTGCTTTGTTCGGTCGGCATTGTTGACCTGAAAGCATTATGTGCTGATTGTTTGCCAAACACAGGCGGACTAGGCTGGGTATGCTGCATCCCTGATAATCTATTCACAGCAGCCTGTGGAGATGAAACAGTGGAGAAGAGTGTCAAGGACAAAATGAGATGACTTAAAACCACAAATGGTTAACTTCTAACAAGATGCCGAACCTTCACCGCTACAGGTGACCATGTTACTGGAGCTTTTGGCAGCGAGTCAGAATCTTCTTGTTTTATGACCGCTGGTACAGCTGGACTAGTCTGGGAAGACTGTGCATGTTGACCTCCTGATAATCTACTCACAGCAGCCTGCAAAGATAAAATAATGGAAAAGTACTGGTGCTGGAACATCAGGACGAGGCAACTAAGAATGGTAGAAAGTGAAAATAGAAGACAAAGTGTGTAATATTCAGGTTTCGGAGATTGCTCAATATCTAGAATAACATTTTGACTTGGGTTTGTTTATCTTTTACTCAGTGATAGGTGACAGCTTACACATGAACCTTTAGACCGACCTTAACTGTAAGAGGTGACCAAACTACAGGAGTCTTCAGCAGCATGACAGCAGCGTCCTCTGACGGTTTAGCCTCACATGCAGGTAGACTAGGCTGTCTTGGACACTTCAATTGCACCCCCAATGCTCCATCCTCCTCCTGAAAATAAAACAGGGTCTTCTATCAAAATCAAAAAGCTTGTAAGTGCAAACTAACTGGCACAAGAACAATGCATTCCCTTAGCAGCTCAAACAGATGGGTTTCTTTATATAAAGCAGCGTTTTCTCCAGATCTGTGCAAGACAAAACACATTGCAAACTGTGACATTACTAGTTTTGCTTTCTGTTTTGATGATCTAATTTAACTAGCATTACACCCCCCCCCCCCCATGACGAGAAACTTAGGTGCACACCAGAAGCGCACAACACCACGGACACACACACCTCCAAATACTGTGAGGAAGCAGAATATACTTTAACTTCAGAAGTAAATGTTTGATAAAAACACTAATTCTACCTCCCTGAAGGGGGCATAACATTTAAAAAAAAATCTCAACAATAGTAGCGGTATGTGTTTCGTGGTTACGTAGAGGAACTATCCATGTATTAATTAAACAGCCATCGGCTGATTACCGTAAACATTGGATCAATTGCGCACTGGACAAGCGGGATCAGCTGATTTAACATAAAACATAAATAAACGAACATGTCTTGCATGCTTTATTATGCCTGGTATATTTCACCACGTTGGAAGCTCACCTAACAGTGAAGTAGGCTACAGAGAAATTATTTTAGTGGAAAGCTGGTGGTGAACATCAATAACTCTACTAGTTACTACGGCAGTAACAAAAGGGCATCGGCCGACTGACAGGTCCCGTTATTTGGCCGCACCACTCACCTTCTTAGGCCTTTGAACAAGAGCAATCTTCTTCGCGGTTTGTGTTTGTCTCCTCTCCTTATTTAAACGTTTCCACTCCGCAAGACGAAGGGACCGCAGCGGTCTCCCATCCGGTTTGACATCTTCCAGATCCGCCATTTCCTCTCCTCTAGTGAAGTCCCGGTGAGAGGTAACACCATAGGGTAACACCCAGTTGACGAATACCTCCTCATCAAATATCACATGGAAAAAAATGACTCCCAGTATTGAAAGGCTGGAACACACGTTTACTATTAAATTCCTGCTCGGTTTTTATGATTTGTTATAAACATTTTCTTAACAACAATGTCTGCGCTAATTCTGCGCAAACTTCTACCTTCACAACAAACTGAAGTGGGGAGTTGAGCTCTTTTCAGTGAGTGGGTTCATTTGGCTCAACTCATGAATTAAAAACTGACTTTTGGCAAAAGGCTCTTGATTTAGTTCCCCTTCTCAGTGGATAACTTGTTTTACGTGTTTCGAAGTAGAGTCAGTAGAAGCTCCCTCAGCAGTTCCCTCAGCCTATGTTCCCTCAATATTACTACAGCAATGAATTAAGATTAAGATTAAGATTAACTTTATTGATCAAAATGTCTGTTTTTACACTCTGTAAGTCATGCAACACACTCATAAGCTGAAATATACACACATGCACAAACAGGATCCTATGGACATGCACTAATGGAGAGATGTCAGAGTGACGGATCTGCCCACAGCAGGCGCTCCTGAGCTGGTGGTGGGGAGGGGGTTTGGTGCCTTGCTCGAGGGCACATCGGCAGTGCTCAAGAAGTGATCTGGCACCTCTCCAGCTACCAGACCAACTTCCATATTTGGTCCGCACCGGGACTTGAACCGGGCGACCCCCTCCGGACTGAGCTACTGCCGCCCACAACACGTTTCTGCATTATAGAAAGGGCCAGCTCTGATGCTTGGGGAATGTCGTCCTGATGGAACATAGAGCCTAATTTCAGGGGGAAATCCTTGAGGGAACATAGGGATGACATCCTTTAATCCAAATGCACCTGTTGACGTCATTGTTACTAAAGTAACTGTTGAATGGAAAGAGTCCTTGCAAATGCCTCTTTATTTAGGCTGCCTTTTATTTAAAAAATATACTCATCACATGTGTCATTGATGAAAAGTCATTTGTGAACACTTTTCTGCTGATGCCAAAATGTCCCGGACATGTTGAACTCGTCCCTGAAAAGAGAGTGAGTTGTTTGAGCCGACTCGTCCGCGGACGCCTCACACTCTCTTCCTGTATATGTTTTTTGGGGAAGATTACCGTGAGCCTCGTTCAACGTTAGCCTACTCTTCAGATATGCTGACAATAAGGTGACTTGTGTTAAAACACGATGGGGAATTTTAACTATTTATGGTAGGAGCAGATCGTTGGCAGCAGGGTTCGCCGATTAACACACAGCAGAGGGATAACTGGATTACTAGACTGAAAGAAATCGGTGCTTCCAAACAATGTCGTGGTTCAATCATGTCAATCAAGCCTCGAATCAGCAGCAGCAACAGCCGCCCACTGAGGGGTACAGACTCAGTCATAACTCCGGGCTCAGATTCCCGACAGAGGGATCACCCTCATTGGCAACACAACACTGGACCGGCTTCCCCGGCGCCCCCAGCCCGGAAGACTTCCCTTCAGCCCCACGAGGTGTAGTCAGCCCCCCAAGCCTTGAGAGTCTCTCCTGCACTTCTCCCAGTACAGGTCAGGTTGGAGATCCGGAGCCCATCTCCTACGTGAGCCTCCAGGAGCAGAGGTGCGTCCTGTACTGGTTCAAGGGCTGGACCGGCCCTCAGAGGGAGCAGTTCCTGCAGGATCTTCTGGGGAAAGCTGTGCCTGGAAAAGTGTGCACCCTCCTAGATTCACTCAGTACTCTTCAGGTACTATCTCTGTTTCTTATAGTCAAGTTATTGATGTTGTTTAATTTCTTAAATGTAACTTTTCTTTCTTCCTACCCTGACAAGGTTAAAGACAGACTACCAAACATCTTTGAGTGCCAGCTGCGCCTGTGGACCCAATGGTTCCAGTCTTGGGGAGAAGAAGAGAGGAACCATTTCCTACACATGCTGGAGGAGTGGGACCCGGTTTTTGTTGCCCACTTTTATAGATGTGTGGCTGGCACAGCAGGAAGAGACTGAGCAATGTTTATTCACTGAAAGTGAATATGACAAAATGTGTCAGAGAGGTGATAAGAAGTGGGTAATGTGTGTTCGATCAGAGAGAGTTCTCTTCAGAGAAATGTTTGTGGAACTGATTGACCATATTCACATGGCGGCCATGTTTAGCCGATGTCCCAGTCAAGGTTGGAAGCTCCATTTTAATGCTGTCCTGCTAAATCCTGTACTGCTTCCTGAAGGAATAACAACTGAAAAGACAAGCTAGTCAAAATATTGAAGGACATGGGCCGTATTTAAGAAGAAACAACGTTTGGGAACCCACAAACCCCTTTTAGAAAACAGCAAACGTTGGCATCCAACCACCGTTTAGCTAACCAAAGCAGTAGCTAGGTGTTAACTGATTTCCTCTCAAATCGTTTAGCACTAAACTTTAACTTTTGCATTAAGCTAATTCCTATCCAATGGTAATATTGGCTTGGAAGTGGCTAAATGCTAATATCAGTTGTCAGGATGAGTATTGGGTTACCATGTGTCATGTTAGAGCTGAGTTCTATCATATCTTATCGCATCAAACTATTTTAATAGCATTCAGCCAGTTTCTATCTTACAATAACGTTAGCTTAGAAGTGGTTAAATGCTAACATAAGCCCCGTTAGATGGTAGCTGGCATATCATGAAATGTGTTGTTTTTTTCTTCAAATTAAATCCAAGGTTCCAGCAGAGTTTTAACTGTTGCACATACAATAGGACATCCTCAAAACAGCAACTGAGCCTCCTCCGACCCGGCTGTGACGTCAGCGGAAAATGGCCTTCGTGTTAATATGGTCTGTGGGAATCATTGTTGAAGGTTAACCATTTCATTGTAAGGACAGACGTTTGTTCAATATAAGCTGTTTTGATTCTGTTTTCTTTGGCCTCTCAGTGGCTACATCACTCATTCCTACACTTTTTTAAAACAAAGATCAGAACATTTTGCTTCACACTTTCTTATGGCTGACGCTGTGACCTGGCGATTGAAATAAAATGGTTAAACACTTGGCTATTTAATTCACTAGACCTGTTGATTAGAGACCCCTGGAATGACATGAAGAAGATGAGAAATCCCTTTGCAGACCGAAACAAATAAAAAGTATTGTTGTATATTTGTTGTTGTACTATTGACTAAAACATTCATCAGCGATAATAACTGAAGTGTTAGTGCAAATTACTCTTCAGTCAAAGTGATTTTTTGACTACTTGATAAGAGCGTTGAAAAGAGAAAATCCTGCACACTATTCACGTCATCATCACCCATTTATTAAAAAAAACAAAAAACATTTCAGTCCCTCTGGTCCTATAGCTAAAACTTTTAACTACTTTAAAAGGGATTAGAGGAACATAAATGGGATACATAATGTGCTCCTCTCTACTTTATCCAGTCAACTGATTTAGGAGCAAGCAACTGTACCAAGACCGGACTCTTAGAATCCTCAACACAAAAATTGATGAATGGATAGATTTTGTCTGTAAAGTTTTGACCAACAAAAGAGTACATCAGAGATCTGGCACTAACATCGTAGAATGAGATCTGTCCCTTGCTGTATTCCAGCAGAATGCCTATTGTCTGAACCTGCGTATGAACTGGAAGAGACACAGATGTACTATACACAGCTCTGTACAGACCCTGTTTGTTCAGGACTATAGTCCAGTAACCATTTGCCGGCCTAAATTGTATTGTCCCCCTTCTCTGAGCAGATTCACTGGCCATTCCAAGTTGGTAACATAGCCTCCCAGCCACAGAAACCTCCCAGTAATGTCTGCCAGATGAGAAGCCAGTCGAGCCCAGGGCAGCCAGAGAGACATCAAACCTGCTTGGACTGTCGATGACAGGTTGGATTTCCCCAGTGGACATTACAGTGTTATCTGCAGACAGAGTGATTCGTCTGTGTGTTGTGTCTGGATCCATGGTCATCCTCCCTGTAAAAAAAAAAACGCACAAGTCAGGTAAAAGAAATGTGGTCACAATAAAAGCAGCAGGTGTATAATCCTTAAAATTTCCCAAATCTTTTCGGGTGAGCTGCATTTGTGAACACAAACAGCTGATTCTTTTTCACCCCCAAAATGTTCCTGCTATCCCATTAGTGAATACCGCGTAAAGTTGAGGAGGGGAGAACAAACAAGTAATTGGTGATGGACCAGTGTGATCAAAAAAGGCTATACCTCAGGAGACCCCTCGTCCCCCCTCCCGTCCGACAGGGATCCTCCTGAAATTCTTAACAGCTTTAGTGTATCTGAACCTATGTAAATCTTTGCCGTGGAAAACTAAAATTAGCGCGCAGTTAATCACCTTGCTCGACATCTACCCCACAATTGCGTTTTCAGGCATTAATAATAAATAAAAAAATGAATCATCACTGATTGTCTGGTTTGCTTTTATAGGTCATAAAGAGGCACAAGGTGCTAAAAACTCAAAAAACAATACACATGAGGCTGTATTGAAGAAGACATAAAACTAGTGATTGAGAGCAGGATCTCATTGGGGTCATATCAAGGGGGGAAGTTGCGTTCTTTTTTCATCAGTTTCGTTAAATCTGGACATATTTATGCAAATAGTGCAGTCGCTCCCTGCTGGCCATTGCAAAGAATGCAGGTTGAAGGCCCTTCTACATCCACTTCTTCCTTACAGTCTATAGGAGTCATACACACAGTTACATTTATAGAGTATTCAACAAGCCTTATATGTAACACTGTACATACAAGGCTTGTTGAATGCAAGCCTTGAAAGAAAATAAGTTTTGAGGGAACTCACTTGCATAGATCGTGTTATCTTCTTCTTCATTCATTTTATTTTGAATGTCATCTGCAGAGAGAAAATGAACTGCATGTTTGTTTCATGGTGAACCCTCTGCTCTTTCCTAAAAAAACTAATACTTACTTTGTATGTTTTCCTACATTTTGTTTTTCTCAATCAAGAAAGAAAAGATTTAAACCTTCATTAAGACGGTCTGCCGAAATCTCCACACTTTCTGAACTTACTGTTGTATTTGTCCTGAAGCTCGTTATACTCTCTGGTCTGGATCTCAAGCTGCTGCTGCAGCTGGTTGAGTCTGGCTTCGTTCTCATGCTGCTGCTGCTGCAGTTGATCTGCATCCTGCTGGCACTGCTCCAGCTTTCCCTGTACACCTGCTGATGAAATATTGATTAAAAAAAAAACTTTTACAGTCAGTGACTGCAGATCAACACCTCCATTTATACTTTATATTTGATCTTACTAGTTCATTGTTGAGTATTAGTCCTGGTTATATTTATCTAGTACAGTTAGCATATATTTATTTGATGTTTAATGCACAGAAAGCTTCTGTAGCACCATCATTTCCCTGATAAGAATCAAAGTTTTCTTCTATCTATAATAAATACCTATTATTATCTCAGTCTGTATATCATTTTGTTTATCCTTACAAACTTTAAACTGTTTGTAATACTTTCTTGTGATTGCACTGTTTTAAATAAACGTTTAAAATCAAACCTAGCACAGGGAGTAGGTGGCTTGGTGTGGTTGCTTACATTTTTAGCTGTTACGTTTTTCTTTTACAAGGATTTTCTGCTAAATTAATGTTTTCCTTTTTTTCTACTTAGTTGTGTTTTTTTCATTCCAACCAACATTGCTGAAAGAAGTTAACACGAACACAAGTTATATGCCTATATTTTCCTTTTCACAAAAAATTGTTAAAAATAAATACATATAATGATTCAATGCATAGAATAAACAGCTTTTTTTTCTTTAGGTTGATATTTAAGACATATTGTGGCTCTCACCGTCACACAGGGTGTCACTATCAGAGCAGCACGTTTTCAGTTCCTTGACCTCCTGCTGTAAGTCTGACAGAGGAAGGGGGTTATCAAGAGGCTGGCAGGAAAACAAGTCATCTCAAAGTCATGGGGAATGGATCTGGCTGTTTGCTTTCACACATCCCCTCCATTTCACTAAAGGACACTAAATGCGTTGTTACAAGGGACCCTCATTTCCAATACGGAAAACTGTTTTTAATACAGATATACTGATTAATCAGGTGCGTTCTCACAAAATAACTACAGTTTTCGGTCACGTTGGTGAGTAATAATTAATGACAAAGCCTTGAAGAAGTTCTTGGGGAGTATAACAGACACTCCTCATACCTTTCTCGTCAAATGCTGACAGCTAAAGAACTGGAGACGCCTGTCACTATAATAAGCTCACAGATTCTGTATATAAATCTTGTAATACTGTTTCAGACACTGTCAGACTTTAGACAGTGTAAATTCACTAAGACAAATTTCTGGGAGCTAATTCTTTAATTGAATTTTGTCCCCACATGAATGACTAGTTGTGATATTTCATGCATCGTCAGCCTGTGGATTAATGTCAGTGCTGTGAAGTGTTTGGCACATAACCTTCTGTAAAAATACGATGCACTCTGTTTCCATGCTAGTTGTTACTTCATGTTTTCAGCCTTTGTGCTAAGCATACAGCTTACAGTAGTCCGACCTCAGGGGCAACCTCCAGTGTTGCAAAACAAGGCCAATGCGGTTTGTTTTGCACCTCAACTGTTTCTATTAATGCTATGAATTATCCATACACACATACATTTGTAATTAGAGGTGTGGCTGATTAGACTGCCCTAAGTCCAACTCATTGTCTGTTATTAGATTGATCAAAAGTTAGGTGGAGATAGCATTTACAATATAGCGACCATCACAGTTAAGCTTTTAAAGCGCCTCTTCAGAAACGTCACTGATTTTACACTATGTTTTTTACAGGCTATGGTTCGGACATGAAAGTGTTAACCATATTCAAATCTGACTCCCTGAAGAAGACGATTAAACATCGAACTATCACTAAAAAAAAAAAAAAAAAAACATTGTACAGCACTTACCTTCATTCTGACTTTCAAGTTTTTGGTTCTCTCTTTGTTGTTTTTGTATTTGTTGTTCCAGTTCTAAACGACAACACAAACAATAACCACAAAAAAATAGATGATTTTCCAATGAAACGTAAAAAGTATATGATGTTTCTTTTACCAACTAGACAGATGATTTTATCATTAAAAGAAAGTCCCAAAGACGACCTACAATGTGTATAATAGCATGCACACTCAGAAATCTGAAGTTGGATTACAAAATACAAATTAAAAAACATTAAAAAAATAAAAGACAAACTGTTGATATCTTTTTTGGCAGCTATTGATGCCTGCTTCTGGGCTTTTTTCAGATCTGCCCTCAGGTCAGCAATCTCCATGACTATCAGAGAAGCAAACACAGGTGCAGTGTTATTTTGTACTTAAAGAAAAAAAACACAACAAATGAGCTAAAAAAAAAAGAAGAAACATTTTTCATACTCTGTTTATAGTTATTTGCATTTGCTTCTTTGAGTTGAAGTTCGCTGTCTTGCATTTGCATCTTGGTCTTATTCAGTCTCTTCTGAATTTCTGAAACATTAGAGATCATTTGTAATTCTCTTTACGTTTTACGGCACAACATGTTATAAAAGAAGTGACATATTTTGTTCTTCACCTTCAAGGTCCCCAGCGTTTGTTTCTTTTATGTATAATATCTCATCTTGAAGTGGTTCGATTTTAGTGTGAAGTTCCATGATCTGAGCCGCTGCAGCACAAAAGAATAATTAAAAGCTCCACATATCATCCTCAGTTTTGTATCTCTTTATGCAGATGATACTGTCCTATATGTACAGAATACCCAAATCTGTTTGTGTCAGGCAAGGGGGGACATCATCACCCCTTACACTCAATTTATTTCAATGCCATTTGATACTTTTTTTTCAAAGCTAAGAGAAACTTACACAAGTTAGCAATCCTTGTACCACTTGAGTCAAGCAACCGTGTCTTTTCTTTTATCTGATTTCTGACGCCCTCCAGTTCATTCTCCAGATCTTTGAGAAAGACAGAAAAGATGTTTTAATTCTCAACATGTAAGAACATTTTTTTTAAGCCAACCCCTGTTCCAAAAAAGTTCACCAATTGTGTAAAATGTCAGTTAAAACAGAATGTGATGATTTGTGAAAAATTTAAATGAGAAATGTTGAAACTGAGAAATGTCATTGTTTTTAGGAATTATGTATTCCTATTTTAAATGTGATGCCAGCAAAGTCTGGTCCAAAAAGTTGGGACATGGAAAACAGGACTGGAAAAGTTGCAAAATACAAAAAAATTAACAAACGCAGATGACAAATCTCACTATTAATAAGATTAACTGGTTAACAAGTTAAGCATGGCTCAGACTGCAGGAGTTTTAAAATCCGCCCCAATGTTGAATTTGGGTTGCATCACACATAAGGAGAATCTTGATGGATCTTCTCTATAATCTCAAACATGTTCACACTACAACATAGGAAATTCTTAGCACATCAGATACTACTTCATTTGGGACCATAATGCTCCGTGCAGAAAGGAAAAAGCACAAAAAAATAAGTTTTGGGTGAAGAAATGCCTGGGGAGACGTGGACAACATAGGTTGTATATTACTTCAGCAAGAGCTGGAGGTCATATTGTAACGGTCAGTCACAGTTGTCCGGTTTGCGTCATGCCACTGGTCACCACTACGGTACACTTATTACTGTCCCCCCTCGTCTCCCGCAGTAATCATAGCCACACACAACCTCTGCCAGACCCTTTCATGACGTAACTGTTGTATTCACAGACTCACAGGACTCGACGTCTCTGAACATCTCGCTTTATTCAGCCTCACACACGGGTCACATATCACAGAGATCGGCGCTCTATTTACTAAACCCTCATAACACGTTAACTGCCGTAAAGCTGCTGAATGTCGTAACTCCCTCAGACACACTGGCTGTTGTGCGTACATAACAGTAACCCTCAAGATTTTAAATTCTAAATATCTGATATGTAGGAAGTAAATCAGGGCGTCCTCGACGATCTTCACACAACTCACACTACAAGATAATCTGGGCAGATAGGCTAATTGGTTCCGACTTCTCAACAGCCTTGAGTCGGGAGTGACCGCACAATTGACGGGAGGAGGAATCAGACCCTGATTTTCCAGCAGTCTGAGACAGGCTTTAGTAAAATACCGGCTGTTGGTCCCCTCAGTTCAGTCTTCAGTTAAGTATTTTTCAAAGAAGAGGTGATGTGTAACATGACCCTGTCTCAATTTATTTGAAACATGTTGCTGGCATCAATTTATAATGAGTATATCATTTTCCAAAAAACTGTGAATTATTAGGTTTGACCATTTGACTTGTTTATATTGTGCTACTTTCTATTAAATATATATTTTTGAAAATCACCACATTATGTTATTATTTACATTTTACACAATTTACCAACATTTTAAGAATTGGGGATCTATGTTTAACATGTACAGACTGTTTTCCCACCTTTAATTTTCTTTAATTCTGCCTGAGCATGAGTCTCTTCTTGCTTCCTCAGTCTTTCTAGTTCATCTTTTTGAGCCACGAGTTGAAACACTAAGAGGACATGATGCATTAAATACTTTAAGTTGAAAAAAGTAAATGAACAGTGATTAATGTAAATGAACATATTTTACAATTTGTTTCATTCAATTTCATTATGACTCACTCAGTTTAGTGTTTTCACCGTTTTCATCTTGAATTCCCTCAATCAAAGAATTCATCTGTTCTTGAAGTGCTGCAGGATGAAGAGACACAGTGATCATTAAGTAATGTTGGCACATGTTTTTTTCTGCTTAATTAAACAAGTGGAGTTTGTGAAATGAGTTTGTAACGTATAGTCAAGAGTGTCTGTCACTCACCATTCATTTTAAGGTAGACTGAGTCATCTACTGCAACATTCGCTAGTTTTTCAATCTCCATTTGGATTGTAATAATCTGCAAAACTGTGGGAAGGGTTAAACATTACAGCTAAAACTTCAAAACTTAATGTGGATATATATTGTTGCGGTTATGATGCTTTTGATGGGTTAAGATTCTACTCACGTCTTTGTGATTGAACGCTTCTTTCTTTCAATGCTTCCTTTTTTTTGGCCAGCTCAACCGTTTTCGCACTAATCGATTTTTGAATTTCTGCAGAACAAAAAAACATTTTAAAAAACAACCAAACAACAAAAATTGTTGTGAATATGTTTATCCGTCCCCGAGCTGTTCCAAAAGAAATATGAATAGCCCCTTTCAGATTGTGTTTCCGCAAAAGCGCCATAACTAAGCTCAGTCGTCTTCATACATTCATATTGATTCTGCCACGGCGTCTTATTGATGTCTGGAAATCAAAATGGATTTCGGTGTTGCAGGAAGCACAGCTGGAACTCCGAGTACACGCAGTCAGACATACACACACACACAGCTTTACACTCCTCTGCTGGCTCAGGGGGAACACGTCATCCCCCCATTACAGATCGGCGAAAATTGTTGTAGTCAAAACCACACTAACCGAGACATACCTGAGACCAGAGTGCTCAGAGACCAAGAGAAGGCCAAGACATTTAGGGATCGAGACTGAATCAAGACCAAGACCAATACCAAGGCAGGGCGAAATCGAAACAAGACCAGCACCATAAATATCACTGAAAAATTATCATTTTCTGTGCAGCAGGTGTGTCACTCACTTAGGACGTAACACCTAAAAGGCGTAACCGGGGGATAAAAATCAAACTACAAATGAATTTAAGGTATTCATTTTTTTCAGAAAGGAGTGTTTTCCTTCTAATCACAGTAATGACATGAAAAAACAGTCAGTGGTGGTCTTGACTGGTCTTGATTTAAACTCTGGAGTCCACCCAGTCTGAGACAGAGACAAGACCGAGTAAAGATGCTTTCGATTCCGAGACGAGGCCATGAACTTCAAAAAGGGGTCTCGAGACCAATCTTCAGACCAGGACCGATTTGGAGTACTACAACATTATCTGCGACATTCAGATTGAAGGCGAAACGTCACAGGGACATAAATATTTTGCGTCTGGAAACGACAGTTTGAATAGGGCTAGTGTGTCAAGGCTTAATGACCACTGAGCTTCGTTACAGGGGAATTGCACGGTGAAAAGGGTTGATGGTTTTTACTCTATCATAACCTGATTTTGAGCACACATTTGAGTTCTTAGCTTGAACAACATTGTAACTGAATATGTCAGAAACAGTGTAGAGACTCCATATGGACCAAATTATGATGGAAGAATGACTGTTAATATTAAATTGAAAAGTTTAAATTCAAGACAGAGACTCTGACCTGCAATCTTGCTTTGCGATTCAGTGTTCTGTAGTTGTCTCTTCAGCTCCTCCACCTGTAGAGTTAACGTGGAAACTTGAAGAGCTGAAACAAACAGGATGAAAAAGAAGTCAACAGTCAGCAAACTCTTCAATCTGCCCAACAACAGAGATTACTGATACCCACCCCCTTTTTTTGATTCAACTATAAAAGCGTGTTTCTCTTTGTCTTCTTTGAACTTTACTGCAGACTGTCCTTACACTCTGTTGTTTTGCTCCTTCTACTTGCAAGAGAATTCAACTTAGCAAAGACTACTACTTGACCCAAGATCTTTTATTCAAACAAACTCTTGTTTACAGAAATTTCTATTACATGGTAACACAGCTTCAGCACTCACCAAGTGAAGTAACGGAGTTAGAGTTTGACTGCAGGTCCTCTATTTTGGTATCCAGCTTATTCTGCAGATCTATAAGGACACATTTGTATCGTCAGAAATCTGAATGCCTTGAATAGGGGGCTCTGTGGAAGGTGAACGATGAAAATACAAGTTTCTCTTGATAATCAAAAGATTTAGTTTTGATAGGAATATTTATATTTTCTCACCACCCATTATCCTAATTCATTTCACTTCTCCAGTCACTTGTGCAGGTTTTCTTGAGAAACAATGCCCCGATATCAAACCCAGTTTTCTATCATGTTATGCAGATGATTCTGTCCTATATCTACAAATACTCTGATATTTGTTTCTCTGACATTTGTGCTTGAAGGACCACTGTTTCCTCCTTGTACATGTCTTATCTCTTTTGATTTTTTCACAGGGTAAATCAATTCCCAGGTATTCATTATTTTAAGACTATTAACTTTGGTATATTAACAACACTAATAAGAATGGAAGAAAGTGAAACCCTGTTAATGTACCAACCTATTAACCCTCAATGATTCACTTTGGTCTCCCTGATATCAATCAGTTTTTTTTATTGGACAGTAAAAGCCACAACGTTTTAAAAACAAGGCCCTGTGTCCACCTAGCGTTTATTCTGGGCGGAAAAGCGCTTGCTGTGCGCTTGGGAACGCTTGCATGAAGTGTTTGTGCGCTGAGAAGAACAGCGCTGCACATCGGTCCTGTCTCTATGACAACAGATTGTTGACCGGCACAGCTCTGTTACTTTTTAATAGAGTTATGTTTTTTATTTGAGATTCCTGATCAGACACAGAGAAAACAGGATGTGGGTACAAGACTCGATCTGTAGGCGACAAAACTACGGTGAATGTTACACATTTTGAAAAGAGCGCCAGTGACGTCAACAGCTCCTTTCTGAAAAGTTTAAAGATTTTTAACTTGAGCGCGTGGAGCGGCCACAAAATTCGCCGGAGAGCTCGGAAAAAAGACCTTGGGCATTGAGCTTTTTCTCCGGACAGCCCCTTTCTGCTGCGAACACTCTCTATGCATTTAACACAATAGAAAAAAGACAATGGTGCTCAGAAAAAACACTAGGTGGACATGGGGCCTTAGTCTTCTACCGCCAACCTTTAACTATATTAATGTTGGGCACTTTGTAATCCTGCTTTTCTATATGGCAATAAATCAGAAGAAAGGGATGATGATTAATGATAGTTACAAGAAAGAAAGAGAATATACTCATTGATTAGCAACATTGACCACAGAAGGACGTGAGAGTGACAGAAAGTAACATCAGTTAGGTGACACACCTTTAACATTCTGCTCGTTACTGCACTGATCCGCTGTGTGGTTGAGCTGATTCTTCAGAGCTATAATACACAAAAAACACATTCATCATGTATTTGATCTCCTTTGACCAAATTTCGACCTACACTTGCTGAAACATGTACTTACACTGGATCTCAGCTTGATCGCGTGAGTGCTCCTCCTCTTTGTCCTTAAGTTGTTTTTTTAGCTCTGGAAAGAAATGACGAAATGATTTAGCTTCATACAGAGCCACTGCTGATACATGAATTCAGTAATGTCAGTAGAAAACGAGATAGGCTACTCACGAGTAATTGTAAAAAAACAAACATTGTACAGCACTTACCTTCATTCTGACTTTCAAGTTGTTGTTTTTGCATTTGTTCCAGTTCTAAACGACAACACAAACAATAACCACAAAAAAAAGAGATGATTTTCTGACAAAACGTAAGAAGTATATGATGTTTCTTTTACCAACTAGACAGATGATTTTATCATTAAAAGAAAGTCCCAAAGACGACCTACAATGTGTATAATAGCATGCACACTCAGAAATCTGAAGTTGGATTACAAAATACAAATTAAAAAACATTAAAAAAATAAAAGACAAACTGTTGATATCTTTTTTGGCAGCTATTGATGCCTGCTTCTGGGCTTTTTTCAGATCTGCCCTCAGGTCAGCAATCTCCATGACTATCAGAGAAGCAAACACAGGTGCAGTGTTATTTTGTACTTAAAGAAAAAAAACACAACAAATGAGCTAAAAAAAAGAAGAAACATTTTTCATACTCTGTTTATAGTTATTTGCATTTGCTTCTTTGAGTTGAAGTTCGCTGTCTTGCATTTGCATCTTGGTCCTATTCAGTCTCTTCTGAATTTCTGAAACATTAGAGATCATTTGTGATTCTCTTTATTTTATGGCACAACATGTTATAAAAGAAGTGACATATTTCGTTCTTCACCTTCAAGGTTCTCAGCGTTCATTTCTTTTATGTATAATATCTCATCTTCAAGTGGTTCGATTTTAGTGTGAAGTTCCGTGATCTGAGCCGCTGCAGCACAAAAGAATAATTAAAAGCTCCACATATCATCCTCAGTTTTGTATCTCTTTATGCAGATGATACTGTCCTATATGTACAGAATACCCAAATCTGTTTGTGTCAGGCAAGGGGGGACATCATCACCCCTTACACTCAATTTATTTCAATGCCATTTGTTTTTTTTTTTTAAAAGCTAAGAGAAACTTACACAAGTTAGCAATCCTTGTATCACTTGAGTCAAGCAACCGTGTCTTTTCTTTTATCTGATTTCTGACGCCCTCCAGTTCATTCTCCAGATCTTTGAGAAAGACAGAAAAGATGTTTTAATTCTCAACATGTAAGAACATTTTTTTAAGGCAACCCCTGTTCCAAAAAAGTTCACCAATTGTGTAAAATGTCAATTAAAACAGAATGTGATGATTTGTGAACAATTTAAATGAGAAATGTTGAAACTGAGAAATGTCATTGTTTTTAGGAATTATGTATTCATATTTTAACTTTGATGCCAGCAAATTATCTTTAAAAAGTTGGGACATTGGCAACAAAGGACTGGAAAAGGACCGGCTGTTGGTCCCCTCAGTTCAGTTTTCAGTTAAGTGTTTTTCAAAGAAGAGGTGATGTGTAACATGACCCTTTCTCAACTTATATGAAACATGTTGCTGGCATCAATTTACAATGAGTATATAATTTTCCAAAAAACTGTGAATTATTAGGTTTGACCATTTGACTTGTTTATATTGTGCTACTTTCTATTAAATATATATTTTTGAAAATCACCACATTATGTTATTATTTACATTTTACACAATTTACCAACATTTTAAGAATTGGGGATGTATGTTTAACATGTACAGACTGTTTTCCCACCTTTAATTTTCTTTAATTCTGCCTGAGCATGAGTCTCTTCTTGCTTCCTCAGTCTTTCTATTTCATCTTTTTGAGCCACGAGTTGAAACACTAAGAGGACATGATGCGTTAAATACTTTAAGTTGAAAAAAGTAAATGAACAGTGATTAATGTAAATGAACATATTTTACAATTTGTTTCATTCAATTCCATTATGACTCACTCAGTTTAGTGTTTTCACCGTTTTCATCTTGAATTCCCTCAATCAAAGAATTCATCTGTTCTTGAAGTGCTGCAGGATGAAGAGACACAGTGACCATGAAGTAATGTTGGCACATGTTTTTTTCTGCTTAATTAAACAAGTGGAGTTTGTGAAATGAGTTTGTAACGTATAGTCAAGAGTGTCTGTCACTCACCATTCATTTTAAGGTAGACTGAGTCATCTACTGCAACATTCGCTAGTTTTTCAATCTCCATTTGGATTGTAATAATCTGCAAAACTGTGGGAAGGGTTAAACATTAGAGCTAAAACTTCAAAACTTAATGTGGATATATATTGTTGCGGTTATGATGCTTTTGATGGGTTAAGATTCTACTCACGTCTTTGTGGTTGAGCGCTTCTTTCTTTCAATGCTTCCTTTTTTTTGGCAAGCTCAACCGTTTTCACACTAATCGATTTTTGAATTTCTGCAGAACAAAAAAACATTTTAAAAAACAACCAAACAGCAGAAATTGTTGTGAATATGTTTATCTGTCCCCGAGCTGTTCCAAAAGAAATATGAATAGCCCCTTTCAGATTGTGTTTCCGCAAAAGCGCCATAACTAAGCTCAGTCGTCTTCGTACATATATATTGATTCTGCCACGGCGTCTTATTGATGTCTGGAAATCAAATTGCATTTTGGTGTTGCAGGAAGCACAGCTGGAACTCCGAGTACATGCAGTCAGACATACACACACACAAAGCTTTACACTCCTCTACTGGCTCAGGGGGAACACGTCCTCCCCCCATTACAGATCGGCGAAAATTGTTGTAGTCAAAACCACACTAACCGAGACATACCTGAGACCAGAGTGCTCAGAGACCAAGAGAAGGCCAAGACATTTAGGGATCGAGACTGAGTCAAGACCAAGACCAATACCAAGGCCGGGGCGAAATCGAAACAAGGGCCAGCACCATAAATATCACTGAAAAATTATCATTTTCTGTGCAGCAGGTGTGTCACTCACTTAGGACGTAACACCTAAAAGGCGTAACCGGGGGATAAAAATCAAACTACAAATGAATTTAAGGTATTCATTTTTTTCAGAAAGGAGTGTTTTCCTTCTAATCACAGTAATGACATGAAAAAACAGTCAGTGGTGGTCTTGACTGGTCTTGATTTAAAATCTGGAGTCCACCCAGTCTGAGACAGAGACAAGACCGAGTAAAGATGCTTTTGATTCCGAGACGAGGCCATGAACTTCAAAAAGGGGTCTCGAGACCAATCTTCAGACCAGGACCGATTTGGAGTACTACAACATTATCTGCGACATTCAGATTGAAGGTGACACGTCACAGGGACGTTTTTGCGTCTGGAAACGACAGTTTGAATAGGGCTAGTGTGTCAAGGCTTAATGACCACTGAGCTTCGTTACAGGGGAATTGCACGGTGAAAAGGGTTGATGGTTTTTACTCTATCATAACCTGATTTTGAGCACACATTTGAGTTCTTAGCTTGAACAACATTGTAACTGAATATGTCAGAAACAGTGTAGAGACTCCATATGGACCAAATTATGATGGAAAAATGACTGTTAATATTAAATTGAAAAGTTTAAATTCAAGACAGAGACTCTGACCTGCAATCTTGCTTTGCGATTCAGTGTTCTGTAGTTGTCTCTTCAGCTCCTCCACCTGTAGGGTTAACGTGGAAACTTGAAGAGCTGAAAGAAACAGGATGAAAAAGAAGTCAACAGTCAGCAAACTCTTCAATCTGCCCAACAACAGAGATTACTGATACCCACCCCCTTCTTTTGATTCAACTATAAAAGCGTGTTTCTCTTTGTCTTCTTTGAACTTTACTGCAGACTGTCCTTACACTCTGTTGTTTTGCTCCTTCTACTTGCAAGAGAATTAAACTCAGCAAAGACTACTACTTCACCCAAGATCTTTTATTCAAACAAACTCTTGTTTACAGAAATTTAAATTGCATGGTAACACAGCTTCAGCACTCACCAAGTGAAGTAACGGAGTTAGAGTTTGACTGCAGGTCCTCTATTTTGGTATCCAGCTTATTCTGCAGATCTATAAGGACACATTTGTATCGTCAGAAATCTGAATGCCTTGAATAGGGGGCTCTGTGGAAGGTGAACGATGAAAATACAAGTTTCTCTTGATAATCAAAAGATTTAGTTTTGATAGGAATATTTATATTTTCTCACCACCCACCACCCATTATCCTAATTCATTTCACTTCTCCAGTCACTTGTGCAGGTTTTCTTGAGAAACAATGCCCCGATATCAAACCCAGTTTTCTATCATGTTATGCAGATGATTCTGTCCTATATCTACAAATACTCTGATATTTGTTTCTCTGACATTTGTGCTTGAAGGACCACTGTTTCCTCCTTGTACATGTCTTATCTCTTTTGATTTTTTCACAGGGTAAATCAATTCCCAGGTATTTATTATTTTAAGACTATTAACTTTGGTATATTAACAACACTAATAAGAATGGAAGAAAGTGAAACCCTGTTAATGTACCAACCTATTAACCCTCAATGATTCACTTTGGTCTCCCTAATATCAATCAGTTTTTTTTATTGGACAGTAAAAGGCACAACGTTTTAAAAACAAGGCCCTGTGTCCACCTAGCGTTTATTCTGGGCGGAAAAGCGCTTGCTGTGCGCTTGGGAACGCTTGCATGAAGTGTTTGTGCGCTGAGAAGAAAAGCGCTGCACATCGGTCCTGTCTCTATGACAACAGATTGTTGACCGGCACAGCTCTGTTACTTTTTAATAGAGTTATGTTTTTTATTTGAGATTCCTGATCAGACACAGAGAAAACAGGATGTGGGTACAAGACTCGATCTGTAGGCGGCAAAACAACAGTGAATGTTACACATTTTGAAAAGAGCGCCAGTGACGTCAACAGCTCCTTTCTGAAAAGTTTAAAGATTTTTAACTTGAGCGCGTGGAGCGGCCACAAAATTCGGCAGAGAGCTCGGAAAAAAGACCTTGGGCTTTGCGCTTTTTCTCCGGACAGCCCCTTTCTGCTGCGAACACTCTCTATGCATTTAACACAATAGAAAAAAGACAATGGCGCTCAGAAAAAACACTATGTGGACATGGGGCCTTAGTCTTCTACCTCCAACCTTTAACTATATTAATGTTGGACACTTTGTAATCCTGCTTTTCTATATGGCAATAAATCAGAAGAAAGGGATGATGATTAATGATAGTTACAAGAAAAAAAGAGAATATACTCATTGATTAGCAACATTGACCACAGAAGGACGTGAGAGTGACAGAAAGTAACATCAGTTAGGTGACACACCTTTAACATTCTGCTCGTTACTGCACTGATCCGCTGTGTGGTTGAGCTGATTCTTCAGAGCTATAATACACAAAAAACACATTCATCATGTATTTGATCTCCTTTGACCAAATTTCGACCTACACTTGCTGAAACATGTACTTACACTGGATCTCAGCTTGATCGCGTGAGTGCTCCTCCTCTTTGTCCTTAAGTTGTTTTTTTAGCTCTGGAAAGAAATGACGAAATGATTTAGCTTCATACAGAGCCACTGCTGATACATGAATTCAGTAATGTCAGTAGAAAATGAGATAGGCTACTCACGAGTAATTGTAAAAAAACAGCATTGTTCAGCACTTACCTTCATTCTGACTTTCAAGTTGTTGTTTTTGCATTTGTTCCAGTTCTAAACGACAACACAAACAATAACCACAAAAAAAAGAGATGATTTTCCAACAAAACGTAAGAAGTATATGATGTTTCTTTTACCAACTAGACAGATGATTTTATCATTTAAAGAAAGTCTCAAAGACGACCTACAATGTGTATAATAGCATGCACACTCAGAAATCTGAAGTTGGATTACAAAATACAAATTAAAAAACATTAAAAAAATAAAAGACAAACTGTTGATATCTTTTTTGGCAGCTATTGATGCCTGCTTCTGGGCTTTTTTCAGATCTGCCCTCAGGTCAGCAATCTCCATGACTATCAGAGAAGCAAACACAGGTGCAGTGTTATTTTGTACTTAAAGAAAAAAAACACAACAAATGAGCTAAAAAAAAGAAGAAACATTTTTCATACTCTGTTTATAGTTATTTGCATTTGCTTCTTTGAGTTGAAGTTCGCTGTCTTGCATTTGCATCTTGGTCCTATTCAGTCTCTTCTGAATTTCTGAAACATTAGAGATCATTTGTGATTCTCTTTACATTTTACGGCACAACATGTTGTAAAAGAAGTGACATATTTTGTTCTTCACCTTCAAGGTTCTCAGCGTTCATTTCTTTTATGTTTAATATCTCATCTTCAAGTGGTTCGATTTTAGTGTGAAGTTCCGTGATCTGAGCCGCTGCAGCACAAAAGAATAATCAAAAGCTCCATATATCATCCTCAGTTTTGTATCTCTTTATGCAGATGATACTGTCCTATATGTACAGAATACCCAAATCTGTTTGTGTCAGGCAAGGGGGGACATCATCACCCCTTACACTCAATTTATTTCAATGCCATTTGATACTTTTTTTTCAAAGCTAAGAGAAACTTACACAAGTTAGCAATCCTTGTACCACTTGAGTCAAGCAACCGTGTCTTTTCTTTTATCTGATTTCTGACGCCCTCCAGTTCATTCTCCAGATCTTTGAGAAAGACAGAAAAGATGTTTTAATTCTCAACATGTAAGAACATTTTTTTTAAGGCAACCCCTGTTCCAAAAAAGTTCACCAATTGTGTAAAATGTCAATTAAAACAGAATGTGATGATTTGTGAACAATTTAAATGAGAAATGTTGAAACTGAGAAATGTCATTGTTTTTAGGAATTATGTATTCATATTTTAACTTTGATGCCAGCAAAGTCTTTTAAAAAAGTTGGGACATTGGCAACAAAGGACTGGAAAAGGACCGGCTGTTGGTCCCCTCAGTTCAGTTTTCAGTTAAGTGTTTTTCAAAGAAGAGGTGATGTGTAACATGACCCTTACTCAACTTATATGAAACATGTTGCTGGCATCAATTTACAATGAGTATATAATTTTCCAAAAAACTGTGAATTATTAGGTTTGACCATTTGACTTGTTTATATTGTGCTACTTTCTATTAAATATATATTTTTGAAAATCACCACATTATGTTATTATTTACATTTTACACAATTTACCAACATTTTAAGAATTGGGGATAACATGTACAGACTGTTTTCCCACCTTTAATTTTCTTTAATTCTGCCTGAGCATGAGTCTCTTCTTGCTTCCTCAGTCTTTCTATTTCATCTTTTTGAGCCACGAGTTGAAACACTAAGAGGACATGATGGATTAAATACTTTAAGTTGAAAAAAGTAAATGAACAGTGATTAATGTAAATGAACATATTTTACAATTTGTTTCATTCAATTCCATTATGACTCACTCAGTTTAGTGTTTTCACCGTTTTCATCTTGAATTCCCTCAATCAAAGAATTCATCTGTTCTTGAAGTGCTGCAGGATGAAGAGACACAGTGACCATTAAGTAATGTTGGCACATGTTTTTTTCTGCTTAATTAAACAAGTGGAGTTTGTGAAATGAGTTTGTAACGTATAGTCAAGAGTGTCTGTCACTCACCATTCATTTTAAGGTAGACTGAGTTATCTACTGCAACATTCGCTAGTTTTTCAATCTCCATTTGGATTGTAATAATCTGCAAAACTGTGGGAAGGGTTAAACATTAGAGCTAAAACTTCAAAACTTAATGTGGATATATATTGTTGCGGTTATGATGCTTTTGATGGGTTAAGATTCTACTCACGTCTTTGTGGTTGAGCACTTCCTTCTTTCAACGCTTCCTTTTTTTTGGCAAGCTCAACCGTTTTCGCACTAATCGATTTTTGAATTTCTGCAGAACAAAAAAACATTTTAAAAAACAACCAAACAACAAAAATTGTTATGAATATGTTTATCTGTCCCCGAGCTGTTCCAAAAGAAATATGAATAGCCCCTTTCAGATTGTGTTTCCGCAAAAGCGCCATAACTAAGCTCAGTCGTCTTCGTACATTCATATTGATTCTGCCACGGCGTCTTATTGATGTCTGGAAATCAAATTGCATTTTGGTGTTGCAGGAAGCACAGCTGGAACTCCGAGTACACGCAGTCAGACATACACACACACACAGCTTTACACTCCTCTGCTGGCTCAGGGGGAACACGTCATCCCCCCATTACAGATCGGCGAAAATTGTTGTAGTCAAAACCACACTAACCGAGACATACCTGAGACCAGAGTGCTCAGAGACCAAGAGAAGGCCAAGACATTTAGGGATCGAGACTAAGTCAAGACCAAGACCAATACCAAGGCAGGGCGAAATCGAAACAAGACCAGCACCATAAATATCACTGAAAAATTATCATTTTCTGTGCAGCAGGTGTGTCACTCACTTAGGACGTAACACCTAAAAGGCGTAACCGGGGGATAAAAATCAAACTACAAATGAATTTAAGGTATTCATTTTTTTCAGAAAGGAGTGTTTTCCTTCTAATCACAGTAATGACATGAAAAAACAGTCAGTGGTGGTCTTGACTGGTCTTGATTTAAAATCTGGAGTCCACCCAGTCTGAGACAGAGACAAGACCGAGTAAAGATGCTTTTGATTCCGAGACGAGGCCATGAACTTCAAAAAGGGGTCTCGAGACCAATATTGAGACCAGGACCAATTTGGAGTACTACAACACTATCTGCGACATTCAGATTGAAGGCGAAACGTCACAGGGACGTTTTTGCGTCTGGAAACGACAGTTTGAATAGGGCTAGTGTGTCAAGGCTTAATGACCACTGAGCTTCGTTACAGGGGAATTGCACGGTGAAAAGGGTTGATGGTTTTTACTCTATCATAACCTGATTTTGAGCACACATTTGAGTTCTTAGCTTGAACAACATTGTAACTGAATATGTCAGAAACAGTGTAGAGACTCCATATGGACCAAATTATGATGGAAAAATGACTGTTAATATTAAATTGAAAAGTTTAAATTCAAGACAGAGACTCTGACCTGCAATCTTGCTTTGCGATTCAGTGTTCTGTAGTTGTCTCTTCAGCTCCTCCACCTGTAGGGTTAACGTGGAAACTTGAAGAGCTGAAAGAAACAGGATGAAAAAGAAGTCAACAGTCAGCAAACTCTTCAATCTGCCCAACAACAGAGATTACTGATACCCACCCCCTTCTTTTGATTCAACTATAAAAGCGTGTTTCTCTTTGTCTTCTTTGAACTTTACTGCAGACTGTCCTTACACTCTTCACCCACTCACTTCACCCAAGATCTTTGCTCCTTCTACTTGCAAGAGAATTAAACTCAGCAAAGACTACTACTTCACCCAAGATCTTTTATTCAAACAAACTCTTGTTTACAGAAATTTAAATTGCATGGTAACACAGCTTCAGCACTCACCAAGTGAAGTAACGGAGTTAGAGTTTGACTGCAGGTCCTCTATTTTGGTATCCAGCTTATTCTGCAGATCTATAAGGACACATTTGTATCGTCAGAAATCTGAATGCCTTGAATAGGGGGCTCTGTGGAAGGTGAACGATGAAAATACAAGTTTCTCTTGATAATCAAAAGATTTAGTTTTGATAGGAATATTTATATTTTCTCACCACCCACCACCCATTATCCTAATTCATTTCACTTCTCCAGTCACTTGTGCAGGTTTTCTTGAGAAACAATGCCCGATATCAAACCCAGTTTTCTATCATGTTATGCAGATGATTCTGTCCTATATCTACAAATACTCTGATGTTTGTTTCTCTGATATTTGTGCATGAAGGACCACTGTTTCCTCCTTGTACATGTCTTATCTCTTTTGATTTTTTCACAGGGTAAATCAATTCTCAGGTATTCATTATTTTAAGACTATTAACTTTGGTATATTAAAAACACTAATAAGAATGGAAGAAAGTGAAACCCTGTTAATGTACCAACCTATTAACCCTCAATGATTCACTTTGGTCTCCCTAATATCAATCAGTTTTTTTTATTGGACAGTAAAAGCCACAACGTTTTAAAAACAAGGCCCTGTGTCCACCTAGCGTTTATTCTGGGCGGAAAAGCGCTTGCTGTGCGCTTGGGAACGCTTGCATGAAGTGTTTGTCGGTCCTGTCTCTATGACAACAGATTGTTGACCGGCACAGCTCTGTTACTTTTTAATAGAGTTATGTTTTTTATTTGAGATTCCTGATCAGACACAGAGAAAACAGGATGTGGGTACAAGACTCGATCTGCAGGCGACAAAACAACAGTGAATGTTACACATTTTGAAAAGAGCGCCAGTGACGTCAACAGCTCCTTTCTGAAAAGTTTAAAGATTTTTAACTTGAGCGTGGAGCGGCCACAAAATTTGCCGGAGAGCTCGGAAAAAAGACCTTGGGCATTGCGCTTTTTCTCCGGACAGCCCCTTTCTGCTGCGAACACTCTCTATGCATTTAACACAATAGAAAAAAGACAATGGCGCTCAGAAAAAACACTAGGTGGACATGGGGCCTTAGTCTTCTACCTCCAACCTTTAACTATATTAATGTTGGGCACTTTGTAATCCTGCTTTTCTATATGGCAATAAATCAGAAGAAAGGGATGATGATTAATGATAGTTACAAGAAAAAAAGAGAAAATACTCATTGATTAGCAACATTGACCACAGAAGGACGTGAGAGTGACAGAAAGTAACATCAGTTAGGTGACACACCTTTAACATTCTGCTCGTTACTGCACTGATCCGCTGTGTGGTTGAGCTGATTCTTCAGAGCTATAATACACAAAAAAACACATTCATCATGTATTTGATCTCCTTCGATCATATTTTAACCTACACTTGCTGAAACATGTACTTACACTGGATCTCAGCTTGATCGCGTGAGTGCTCCTCCTCTTTGTCCTTAAGTTGTTTTTTTAGCTCTGGAAAGAAATGACGAAATGATTTAGCTTCATACGGAGCCACTGCTGATACATGAATTCAGTAATGTCAGTAGAAAACGAGATAGGCTACTTACGAGTAATTGTGACGGATTCTGCCTGGTCCGGAGTTTGTTTTTCTTGATTTAAGTTTCTGAGTTTCTTCTGCACATCAGTGGCTTTAGCAACTGAAGAACAGATATAACACACTGTAAAGAAATTTCTTATGAATGGATTTCGACACTTTGATCACCTTTCACTTACTCAGCTCGTTTTCTGTCGGGTTCCTCACAATCAGATAGTCGAGACGTTTCAGCAGCTCTTGCCTCTTACTTATCAGGCCATCAGATTTGTTTTTGGAGAACACTAAAAGACATTATAATTTTTGTTTATTAGTAGATACCTGCAGGAGATTTAGATACAACAAGAAAACTTCAAAACAATCTAATCAGCTGGTCATGATTTGCCTGTTGGGGATTCGTTATGAATGCTCGAGAGACACTTACCTAGTAAATTATTGTTTTCTAGTTGTGTATTTAGTGTCATGATTTGAAGAACTGAAATACAGAGAGGGCTAAAATGAAGATCACACCAAGAGATACTGTAATATCAACATAGGTACCAGAGATTTCATCAGAGAGACGAGTGAAGGAATGAACGGCTCACCAAGTTTTGTGCTTTCGTCAATTATTTTACTGATGAGGTTATCCACTCTGCTCTGGTCCTCTAGGAAAAAGTACACTTCAATATAGTTTTATTGATTTCTCTGTGCTTTCATTTCAAAATCACACATTGGCATTTTACAAAGACTAACCATCTATATTGCCAGCATCCATCCCATGGTAAACAGCGTGAAGTCGGTTCCATATTTCATTCTGCAACTCAATTACTGTTAGAACTGAAACATAGAAACATTCAGTGAGTTTGACAGAAATCTCTATAATCAGTCCTCCATCTGATTAAAGACATAATGTCTATGTACTACTTTTTTCTCCATCATTGTTCAAATGATGTACTCCATTTATACATCAGTTGAAGCAGATTTGTTCTGCTTAGGGGTACCTTGTCATGTTTCTCGTGATTCGTCGAATAAGGCACATTGTCATTTTAAAATGTCAAAGGACATTGTTGAATTAACAGTCATTCATGCTTTGTGTAGTTTTTTAGTGACATGGTTTTGTAAGCAACACAGATATTACATTTTGTTAACGTGTCTTTTTCTATGTTTATTCCACCACATTTGTCATTCATTCAACAAAATTACAACTCTGCACCCCCTTTGGTCTGAGTATGAACACTTGACATCATGCTGCACATACAGAATGACCCGGGAAGAGGACTAAAAGAGACATTACATCTTTTGTACCATGCAGTATTTAGTTGATTAAAGAGCGGCTAAATACTTGATATGAACTAATTTCTCATGTAACGTCATCTTATGTCACTTGTTTTATGCTCTCTGTGCCAGGCAATATTTCATTAATTCATTAAACATCATTGTTTGGTTCATTTTCTTTCATTAGGTAAGGAAAGCAAAATAAGATCGGCACACCAAGAAGTTCCCGTCTGAAGTATTTATCAAGTGATGTTTTGAGCCAATGTGCTCCTAGTAGTCTGAGAAAGAGCATGTTGGCTCGAAACATCATTTAATAAATCCTTCAAACGGGAGCTTCTTGTTGAGTGGATCTTGTTTTGCTTTCTCTACCTAGTCGTGTTTTTTGGTTCCAGCACCCACTGAGGGATGTGCGTGTGTTTTTTTTACCTTTGTGAAAATTTGAGAAGAATACCAACTAATCCTCTTCTAAATATTTTAATATTTCTAACCTACAAAAGATCATTTTGATCTCATACTATCCTCTTCCTAAACCTTCAGTCAAGTATTCAGTGCTAAACATTTAGCATATTTAAGGCTCAATTTGTGACACATAATAAAGTTTCATAAATTATTTTATTTGTGATGGAGTTGCCATTGTATCAAAGATATTAAGCAGTTGGCAGATATGATTAGCCCCCAAGGTTGCGATAGCAACTTTAAAGTTTAAACCACAGTTTAAAAGATTAATTACATTTCATAAAGCATATATATATTCTGTGTGTAAAACTTTACATGTCACCTGATACTGCAGAAACAAAATTGATATTTTAGGAGCCAGGGAATGCTGTGGTGGTGATAAGTTACACTCATAAAGAGAATCTGACTTTTAAAAATAGTAAACGCTCCTGTGAGGAACTTTCTGTTTGTCCCCTGTGAACAAACAGTATTTATTATTTCTTTGCTGATCTTGTCCTGTAAATGCATGACTAGTAATTACCAAAATTGTCATCCATCTTTCTCTCAACAGTCAAACGTGTCAATGCAGTCCCTGCGTGCCAGCACTGTAACGAAGCTCTGCCGTCTTTACATCTTTGTACATTCATTGATTCCACAACAGCACGATATTGGTGTACCAGTCTGTGAATTAACAGTGACTGACGGCATTGGCGAAGCCCAGCATGTAGAGAAACAGCAGGAGCTTTAGATACACATACACTCAGACATGCACACACGCGCGCGCTCAGCTGGACTTGACTCCTTCCTTTTAATTGGTATATGTTGTGTTTCTTGTAAATGTACCAAGGTGAAGAATGTATAGATTAAACAGCAAAGGCTCAAGAACTGATCCTTGTGGGACCCCAGAGGGAAATTTTGATTCTTTAGATTTGAACTTGCTTAGAGAAATGTAAAACGTCCTATTTTGATCAAATTCAGTCTTTATCTCTGAAACATAATCAAAGATAGACACACACACACACACACACACACACACACACACACACACACACACACACACACACACACACACACACACACACACACACACACACACACACACACAACACACACACACACACACACACACACAGTGCTGTTCTCCCCCACTGGCTCCACCGATCCCACCTCACCCTTGTAACGCCTCTGTTGGGATCACTTTGTTTGCCCATTAAGTCCCATGACATTCACATTAATGGGAAGGTAAATTTATATGTAGAAATTGTCACTCTTGTCACTTGTATTATTTGTAGGTTATTTCTGTTAATGTTTTTTTTTTAATTAATATTCAAATAAATATAAAAAAAGGGCTCAATATATATCAGCACCTTGATTTACTAAAGTGCATGATACAAAAAACAGCTTTATGGCGCAGTGTTTTTCATAGTTGCCTAGGACATACACGGGGACACAGGATGAAACAAAGGATCAAATCATTGAGCTTACTTATTTTTGGGTCGGTAAAGCGTCTCTCTATTTCTTCAGTCTTGGAGTTCAGTTCACGTTGTTTCTCTTCAAGCTGCCTGAGCTCTGAGGTACAAAGTCATAACAGTGGTCAAAATAAAACAATAATAGATGAATATGTAGCAGAAGTATTATTAATTGAAAATAATACAACACAAATGGTAAATGGACTTGAGCTTGTATATCACTTTTTCAGTCTTCTGACCACTCATAGTGCTTTCACCTTTATTTTCCCTGGGATTTACCCCGCTGGTTTCAAGAGAATGTCCGCAATTGGATCCTGGCCAAGAGGGAACCAGCAAATGTCATAATGAATATTACATTACATGATTAAGAATCAGTTTACAAACAAGAAGTTAAGAGCAGACAACAATTAAAATTGACAAATCCAATAATACAAAGGAAAGCATGATGTTAGAAGACATTTACACCTTTTTCTGAAGCAAATTGTTTAAATAAAGCAATTGCTGACTACTAATTGACTAATCAGTGCTGTCGTAAATTTCTGTTCCGTCTTTCAGCGCAAATGTTCAAGTGAAATAATCTCATTCCACTGCGTGATCTGTAAACATCTTTTTTATGAACACACATTTTCCAAAGCTAAACTGAGGAGTTAATGAAAACACATTTTAGTGCAAAGGATTGATTGTGATCACGACTACTCACCTAAGGTCTCGTTGGGGTTTCTTGAATATGTGTAATGACAACTCAGACTCCACATATCATCATGCAGGCTTATCACGTTCAGAACTGACTCAGAAAAAACACAGAAAAAAATCAGCACGCAGCCATCTGAGGCAGACTGAGCAGTATCTCATTATAACACTGAACTAAAGTGATGGAGGCAGTGCTGTAATTTAACATCTCTCACCAAGTTCTGCCTTTGAGCCCTCGTATTTGTCCAGTTCTGAAATATTAGCAATAGCATTTTTATTTATAAAGCACATTTCATTCATAGGTTAGCTCAATGTGCTTTACACTGATGTTAAAAACACTGGAATACCATAATTAATAAATAAGAAAATGTCCACAGTCATGAAAAAGACACAGAAATCAAATCAACAGAATCATACACACCACAAAGCAAACATTTATAACCACACAAGTGATCACATACAGTATACACACACACTAAGAACAACTATTTATATGCTTGGGAGAATATATAGGTTTGCAGTTTAGCTCCATTTTTAATGGACCTTTTTTTCCTTTCTTTATTAGGATCCCCCTTAGCACCAGCATACACATTGACTATTCTTCCTGGGGTCCAACACACATACAGTCATACACACTTACACACAGTACAATACAAACCTCAGATAGACCTCAACAGGTAGCTTGTTCCAGAGAGAAGCACCACAGTAACTAAAGCCCCCCTTTCCAGACTTTGATCTCATTCTGGGTACGGCTAAAAAAAAAACTCCACCTGATGACTTGAAAGGCAGGGTTGGGTTGTAGTCTGTGAGCAGGTCAAAAATGTACTCAGGAGCTGAACCATGGAGAGCTTTATGAACTAGGATTTTAAAAGTGATTCTGTATTGTATGCAGAGCCAATGGAGTGTTTTAAGGACAAGAGTGATGTGTTCAAATGTTCTTGTTTGTGTCAGGACTCTGCTGCTGGCTGTTGAATTTTGAATAAGTTGAAGTCTTCCTACAGATTCAAAGGTCAAAAGTCAAAGGTATCTTTATTGTCCCCACAGGTAAATTTGTTTGCAGCTGGAGACATACAAATACATAAACAACACTAATAAATCATCCAAACCTCAAGTACAAACGAGACCCGATGCCTTTTAGTCTTCACCACAGGCAGTCTGTACCGTCTGCCTGAGGGGAGAAGACTAAACTCTGCAAAGAGAGGGTGATCTGTGCTCTGCAGGAGGGAAGTCGCCTTTCTGACCACCTGCCTACTGTAGAGGTCGCTCAGCTGGACTTGACTCCTTCCTTTTAATTGGTATATGTTGTGTTTCTTGTAAATGTACCAAGGTGAAGAATGTATAGATTAAACAGCAAAGGCTCAAGAACTGATCCTTGTGGGACCCCAGAGAGAAATTTTGATTCTTTAGATTTGAACTTGCTTAGAGAAATGTAAAACGTCCTATTTTGATCAAATTCAGTCTTTATCTCTGAAACATAATCAAAGATAGACACACACACACACACACACACACACACACACACACACACACACACACACACACACACACACACACACACACACACACACACACACACACACACCTACCTATGTACACACACACATTTCACAAAAGTCAGGGCTGAAACTAAATCTGTCAAATTTACCCTCATGTTTCTCTTGAGGTCCAGAGCGCTCTTCACTCTTTAACTGCAGTTTCTTCTGCAGCTCTGTTGAACAGAAACTTAAAGTCAGATCTTCAAAATGCCTATAAATCACACTAATGGTGTTTTCACACAAACACAAAACTTCGGAAAACTCACAAAACTTTTCGGGGTGAGCTGCGTATGTATATGCTGATGGACACATTTTTCTCGCTGACTTTACCCAGGATATTTCCTGCCAGCCCCCGAGTACATTTCTGTGTGAAGTTGAGTGATTTGTGATCGCAGCAGGAAGCATTCAAGAAATATCAACTCGAGTGAGCAGGCAGGGATGATGACACGATATCTCAATACGGGTGAGCAATCAGTGCCATCATTGTGCACGTAGTGAAGCTGCTTCATATTACTTTTTGATGCAAGTAAGTTATTTTCCATTGCGTCTGTGAGCGATGCAAACAGGCAAGTCAGGAAGAATTCAGGGGGAGCATGTCTGACTGCCCTTGAAATCCTCCTGAGTTTATTGTTCACATAAGGAGACTTTGCCTGTCTGACAGGAGCCAGGACAGGACGTCAAAGAACGACATAGAAATGGAGGATGAAACAACAGAGACCAATGCTATGTTGATAATTTTTGTTTTTATATCAATGCTACGTGTAGTTTAACATATTAACCATATCAACAAAATAGCAGAGAAACATTCACCCATACTGTATATATATATATATATATATATATATATATATATATATATATATATATATATATATATATATATATACACATATATATATATATATCATTGAAGAAAAAAACACATTGAAGCAGCTTCATAGTGTGCACAGGTTACATGACGGTAGCAGGATATAAATGTCATGATCAACGCCCACTTGTTCAAGATGAACTTTCCTGCAGTATTCTCAAATCAGCACACCTCCATATAGCACGGATATTTTAATAGTGGTCTGGCAGGAAAAAAATCCTGGTAAAGCAAGGTTGAAACATTTTGACATGCAGCTCTGACATGCAGCAGTTTTTAGAGTAGTTTAAATAAACTCACCATTTATCTCAGCCTGAGCTTTCGCATATTCCTTTTCTCTGGTTTGAAGTAGGTTCTGTAGAGCTGATTTAAAGCAGTTATGTAAGAGATCAAGGTCATCAATATATAAGGCATCTGGTTTGAGCATTTATCAGCTGCTCTTCAGCCCGATTTGAACAGAAATCTGATAGAAAATAGTAAATAGATCAATAAAATATTAGGGTTGGACTCACTGGTGGATTGACTTGTATCTGTTGTGAGCTGGTCTTGCTCAACAGCCTGCATCTCTCTCAGCTCTTTCATTATGCTGAGGATTTTGAAGACTGGTTGAAGTAAAAGAAAAAATCCCAATGTTCAGACTTTGAAGCAATACTGTGCACTGTTTACAGGTACTTTTTTGTTTTATCCTTGTGAAAATTACATTTAAATTGAAAAAGAGTTATGGAAGGTTTTTAGAAGGAAACTTAAATTTTTGAAGATCTGTTCACCATAAATAATAGAAAATAAGTTTGAATTTCATTTAAGGTTGGAAAATGTAAAGCATAGATGCACTTAGTTTTTGTACTTAGTTGTGCTTTGGGATAGTCTTCTTCTTCCAGTCGTTTATGCGCGGAGTCTTCCTGTTTCTTCTTCGCTTCCAAAGTTACTTTAAGCTCTGTGATAAAAATACAAACTATTTAGTATTCACTATTAATTTCTGACTTTGATGCGTAAGCAAACAGTTTTTCAAAAATGTTCTGATTTTACTCATTGTCAACACAATAATGTTTTTCTACATAAATACAAGTAAATCAGGTTTCATTGAGCTGTTCGGTCGTTCACCTGCAAGTTTGGAATCAGTTGTCTTTTTGGCGTCCAGCATTGATTGTCTAAAAAGCTCCAACTCCTTCTGCAAAACCAAAATGTCTTTGGCTGCAGAAAAAAAAGACAGATGATGCCAGATAATCGCCACGGTTATAGAAGTAAGTAGTGATCATTTTAATAAGTTTCTCACTTACTAAGTTGAAAATTTTTCTCGTCACTGTTCAACTGCATAATCTTCATTTTAAGGAGATTGACTTTTTGCTTCCATTGCCTCTGGCGGTCTGAAAAAGAAACCAAATGAAGCCTCAGTAGTGTTAAGTATTTTATAGTAATGTTACATACAAGATCAGACAGAAGCTTCAACACTGTGCAATCTCATTACGTATCTCACCGGCAGCTTCAGCTCTGGATTGTTCAATGACAGCATTGATGTGCCTCTGATCGGCAGCGACAGCACTTTGAAAAAATATCAGTGCCAGCGCTGAATGAGGATCAGAACATGGCTGTCAGGAAATCTTAGATCAACAACATCATTTTTAAAGTTAAATATTAAAGCTGGAGAGTTGCACTGACTTTCTTGGATTTGATCATTTTTGCTTTGCAGGTCATAGGTCGTATTGGACATTTGTCCGAGTAGAACTGATGATGAGAAAAATGAAATAAACAAAGTAATTAGTTGCTAAAATAGATGGCCAGTAGCAGCTAAACAGAAAGTAGATACAGTGTGAAATAATGTGATGGTGAGACTATGAGACGTCTGGTAACATCTGCCTTACTGGAATATCAAGAAGAGTCTTTAAGTTAGCAAACTGAGGCAGTAATATGAATCATACAGACATATCTACATACAGTGAGCAAAAACCAGCTAACATTAGCCTCGTGAGCTAATGGTAATACCACACAAAGTACGACTGTGGCAGCACAATCCAATGATTCACATTATACATGATCTATAAGGGGGATTTTTCATAGCTTAAACAAATGCAAATGTTTCAGTCAAATAGGCAAACATTTACCCAGAAATCTGCTTCGAAGACTATCTTGGCCTCTTCTTTTTTCGTCCTGTTCCAGATCCCAGATTTGATTTAGCAGTGAGATGAAATCAACAACTGTAATAACATATAAAAACATGTAAATTCAGAACTTTTAATACAATTTAACCTCAATCTCTGCTTAAAATATTTTCTTCAAATGTCCTGTAAATAAAATAAAATGCTCTTACTCAGTGTTCCATTTATGTGGTGTGTATTTATGTGCTTCATCTTCTCATTCAGTTCATTAGTTTTCACTTGTAACTTGCTCTGCAGGGCTGTGAGACAAGAGTTGGGTTATGAAGTATTTTAATTCAAAGATGTTTAGCCTATGATAACAAAGTCAGTCTCCCAATGGCTAACAAAAGAGTTAGCTTTATGGAAATAAATATATTCAGCAGCTGGAGTTAGAAATCTTGTTTGACAGTAACAGAGGAGAAGAGCGCTCAGTAGTTTGAATTTGCCAGCAGATGTAGAGCAATACAAAACTCACCATCAATTTCAGTAGTTTTGGTTACATTAGCGGCATGTTCGATCTTATTCTGTAATGTATTCACCTCACTGGTGAGAGCAATCACTTTCAGAACTACGGAAAAAACGTTATATTGTGTTAAACAGAAGCGCTGCAGTGCAATTATTTGCTGAAAATAATAATTAATAAATAACTTGGTTACGTGCAGGTGAGGTGAACTTACTCAGAAAAGTATCATCATCATCATCATAAGTGTCCAGAAGCTG